CCAAACTGTGCAGCTCTGCAACTGCATCCTGGCCCATCCTCACCCTTCTGCCCCCAACCCTCACCTCCTTGTACCCCCAATATGTTTTTCCCAATAAAAAAAATTTAAAAAAAAAAGAACTGACTCATTGCTGACCCTCCAGTGGTCTTTCAGATGGGAGGAGAGTGTCCATCCTTCTGTAGGTTGGTGGATTCAAACCACTTGCCTTTATGACTACAGTGCAACTTCTTAGCACTAGGCCACCAGAGCTCCTGGTGGCATAGTGAATAGGGAGTTGTGCTGCTAATTCAAAGGCTGGCAGTTTGAATACACCGACTACTCAGAAGGAAAAAGATGGACAATCTCTGCCTGTGCAACTTACAGCCTCTGAAAACCCACTGGCAGATCAGCTCTGAGTCTGTTCCAATTCAATGACAATTGTTGTTGCTGTGCACCATCGAGTCAGAACCAACCCATTGCTGACTCTTCAGTGGGCTTTCAGAGGCAGTAAATCTCACAGGAGGAGATCACCCATCCTTCACTCATGGAGCAGCTGGTGGATTCTAACCATGTGCCTTTGGGATTGCAGGGCAGCTTCTTATCACTAAGTCATCTAAGGAGTATATGTAAAATGTGTTGGAGGAAGAAAGGAACGAGGAGTCTTTAAAGTCAGAATAGTGGTCACCTCCACTGCTGACCTTTCCATTATCAGTCTGACACACTGCACACTATGAAAAGAAAGAAGAGATTCTTCTTTATTATTAGGATTGCTACCAGCTTCTAAGGCACCGCAGGCTCTCCTTGTAGTCTGATTGGTGGATATATAGATGGTCATTGCTACTGTACATATATGTGATATGTATCTAATCACATAATTTATCAGCTTAAAAAAATTCCTCAAACAAGAAATCCCAGAAGAGGAGAAATGTCTGAAAACCACTCTTGGAAGCCTTTGCTATAAATTATACATTCTGTATCCCAATACATTTAGGAAACACCCCAGATTGTGGATGAGGATGTCCTGGATCCTTGCTCCAACAAATACGGCTGTTATTACGTGCTGTCAAAAAACTTATGACTCACAGAGACCCTATGTACAACAGCTCTGAGCCCTGCTCTATCCTGAGCCCACCTTATTGTCTCTGACACACTTACCCCCCATTACTGCAGGCACTGAGTCAATCCATCTCATCCAGGATCTCTCTCTCTTGCTTTAGCCTGCCAACTCCCAATAATGATGTCCCTCTCCAAAGACTAATCCCTCCTTGAAACATGCCCAAAGTATGTGAGATTTAGCTTCAGAATCCTTGTCTCCAAGGAGCACCTTGATTTCACCTTCTCTAAGACTAACTTGTTTGTTCTCCTAATAATCTATAGTGTATTCAATACTATTCTCCAGCACAACTCAAAGGCATCAATTCCCCTATATCATCTCTAGTCATTGTCCAGCTTTCTGATGCATAGCAAGTAATTGCAAAGATTGTGGCCTGTATCAGTCACACCTTAGTCTCCAAACTGACATCATTGCTCTTCAGTAGTCATTATCCTTTTGGATTAATTCAAGTCACTTAGCATGGTCTTCTCACCTCACACTTCTTGGCCTGAAGCAGTGAAAAAGTATGACCTGTTTCAGGTACCAGAAGTTAGGGATTTATACTCCTGCTGTCCTTTCCTGGCTCCTTGACCTTCAAGAGTAACTTCATCCCTGTGCCTTGGTGCTGGCAATAAAGGTACTGACAGTCCCCAACTCACAGGGTTACTAAGAAGCTCAAATGAATGAATACAATTGCAGCACTAAGAACAGAGCTTGGCACAGAGTAAGGATGCAACATCTGTTGGTTTCTAACTATTCACTTTTCCTTGAACACTCCCTCACCTCCTGCAGATTCTGCACCCAATGACCAGTCCAGGTGCTAGCGTCAGGTTGCTGGGATTTGACTCTTAGCAACACCAGAGACAAGCTGTGTGGTCTTAGGCAGGCCACATAACTTCTCTGTGCTTTCAGTTTTCTAATTCATACAACAGAGGAGAATAGTAACTTCTATCTCAAAGGGTTACTATGAGGACTGAACTTCTCAGCAGGGCACCTGGCATACATGTATTCAAGGAATGTTTACCCACTAGAGGCTTCTGAGCACTTCTGTCTTGAAAGGGGGTGGGAGTGGAACTGCAGAAAGTCTTGAACCTCCAAGTCTTCAATCAATGCATAACCTAGCAAAAACCCAGACTCCTAGAGAGACATCCACCCCCCAGCTATTAACAACGAGCTTCAGGGGCTTTCTTTGGCCCAAGGGTCTTTTCAACCCAATGAGAACCCTGATGCCAGCTCCCAAGCCCTGTCACCCACCAGTCCCTCTCAAGCCTGACCGTGTTGTTGGGAGTATTCCAGAAGATGGAAGTCACGTTAATCAGATGCTTCTGTGCAGGACTGTAGAAGGCAATGCTCTGGAAAGGGTTCTGGCTTAGGTCCCATCGCCACTGGATGATCTCCAGGCCCATGGGCAGGTCTCCCTGCTCGTCAAAGAAGATCTTTTGGCCCAGCAGGGTGAAGTTGACATTCCAGAGCTCCTTAAGCAGCTAGAGGAGGCAAAAGGAGGAGACGTGGACTGAGATCATAGGCCTGGCAGGTCTGAAAGAGATTCTACTACACCATCTATGTCAAATGGGAATAAGAAGTTTTCAAAAATATTACCATTTGGTAGGCAATGGCTGAGAGTTCTGGCTCTGGAATCAGACACATCTGGTATTGGGCCACTTCTTGCCACTTGCTAGCTCTGAGGTCTTGGGCCTATCACTCAATGCCATTGAATTTCAATTTCATCTTTTGCAAAGTGAGTACAAAAAAGGGGGGGAATCCTATCTTGCAGGCTTTGGGAAACAAGTTCGTATATCTATGTCAGTTCCATATCCTCAATTTTGCGTGATTTGGAGCACATCATTGACTGTCTCTGGATGGAGACTTCCCAGCTGGCTCTTCAAGGGCTTCCAGCTCAGATATCACATTAGTCCAGCTCCTAGACTTTTCCTCCATGAACGGAGCAATGTATTGGGTTACACCTTGGAGATCCATCTTGGAAAATGACAGCCAGACACTGAAGGAGCAGTATTGGCTTGAGAAATCTCTTTGGAATTTGTAAATTGGAGGAACCAAGGGCAATAAATAGTCCTAGGAGCACAGCTTGAGAGATTGTTGTTAGGTGCCATCAATTCAACTGTAATTCATAATGACCCTGTGAACAAACCTGAGAGAAAGGAGTCTGTAACCATGGGTAAGCCTGAGGGTGAGGCCAACATGGTGAAGAGCTGGAAGCCTCTGGGAAGCCAGGTCCTAGGTTCCATGTTTGACCCCTTGCCAAACTGGGTTGAGTAACCTGAGATTCAAGGAATCTAAAATACAGGGTTAGAGTACTGTTTGTGAAATTCTCCTAGTAGGTAGGAAGCTTGACCATTGGCAGTGGTTATACATCTTGGTTCCTAGTCTGTCCTGAAGACAGACTTGTTCCTAGATAGAGTAGGAAGCAGGATTGGCCATCCACTTTTCAAATAACAAGCCTCTGAAAACCCTCTGAGCAGTAGAGGAATGCAGATAGCTATAGTAGTGGTGGTAGAGCCTAGATTGGAAGTCAGTAAAAATGAGGAAGAATAATGGCACACACCATTTAATAATTGGAGTGTAGAATGTACATAGCTTGGATGTTGGAAAAGTAGAAATTTTGAAAAATTAAGTGGAACACATGAGCATCAACATTCTAGGCATTAGCGAGATGTGATGAGCCAGCTATAGCCACTTTGAATCAGATTTAAAAAACATAAGAATGGTGTTGCATTCATAGTCAAAAAGTAAATTTGAAATTCTATCCTGAAATACAATATTGTGAGTGATAGGATAATATCCATACGCATGCAAGGAAGGCCTGTTAATATGACTATTATTCAGATATATGCTCCTATGTCTAGAGCCAAAGAGGAAGAGATTGAAAATCTTTACCAAATGTTACAGTCCAAAATTGACCAAACATACAATCAAGATGAGTTAACTACAGTCGGTGACTGTAACGCAAGAGTTGGAAATAGGGAAGAAGGAACAGTCATTGGAAAATATGGGCTTGGTAATAGAAATGAGGGTGAAAAAGAATGATTAAATTTTGTATTTTCAATAATTTATTCATTGAAAATAACTTTTTTAAAAGATGCAAATGACAACTCTCTACATGAGCCTCACCTAATGGGTTGCATAGAGATCAGATTGACTGCATTTGTGGAAGGAATCATTGAAGAAACTCAGTATCAGCAGTCAAACCTAGGCGCCAGTGCGAACTGTGGGTTAAACCATCAACTATTCATGTGCAAGTTCAAATTGAGGCTGAAGAAAATGAAAATAAGTCCACAAGAACAAAGATATGATCTTGAATCTTTTCCATATGAATTTAAAGGTCATCTTAAGAATAAGTTTGAAACATTGAACACCAATGATCGAAGACCAGATGAGCTATGGGATAATATCAAGGATATTACCCATGAAAAAAAGCAAAAGGTCATTAAAAAGACAGAAGATAAATAAAAAAAACAAAATGGATATCAGAAGAGACTAAAAATTGCACTAGAGCTTTGAGAAGTCAAAATAAATGGAAAACATGCTGAAGTAAAAGCACTGAACAGAAGATTTCAAAGGTCAGCTCAAGAAGACAAAGCAAAGTATTATAATGGAATGTGAAGAAAGCTGGAGTAATTCTTTTATTAGTGAATAAAAAGGGAAGAACTCATTCTGCATTTCTCAAGCTGAGAGAACTGAAAAATAAAGTTAAGCCTCAAATCGCAACATTGAAAGATGCTATGCCAATATATTGAGTAACCAGAAAGCATCAAAATAAGGCAGAGGGGATACACAGAATCATTGTACCAAAAAGAAATGACTGACACTGAAAAATTTCAGGAAGTACCATAAAGGCAGGAGCTAAGGTAATGAAGGAGGAAATGGAAGCTGCATTGGAGACACTGGCAAAAACATAAGGCCCCAGGAATCAATGGGATACCAATTGGCTTGTTTCAGTTAGCAGTTGCAGTCCTGGATGTGCTCACTTGTCTATGCCAGGAAATTTGGAGGACAGCTGTCTGGCCAATGGATTGGAAGAAATCCATATTTGTTCCCATTCCTAAGGAAGGTGATCCAACTGAATGTGGAAACTATTGAACAATATCATTAAAAGCACATGAAAGCAAAATACTGCTGAAGATCATTCAAAAATGGTTAGAACAGTGCATACATAGGGAACTGCCAGAAGTTCAAGCAGGATTTAGAAGAGGCTGTGGCACCAGGGATAACATTGCTGATGTCAGATGGATCCTGGCTAAAAGTAAAAAACATCAGAAGAAAATCTATTTATGCTTTATTAACTATGCAAAGGCATTTGACTGGTGGGTCAAAACAAGTTATGGCTGACATTGAGAAGAATGGGAATCCCAGAGCACTTAATTGTGCTTATGTGAAACCTACACCTAGACTAGAAGGCTGTTGTGTGAACTGAGCAAGGGAAAACTAAATAGTTTAAAATTAGGAAAGGAGTGTGTCAGAGTTATATTCTCTCTATATACCTATTTAATTTGTATACTGAGGGTGTTGCGTGAACTGAGCAAGGGAAAACTAAATAGTTTAAAATTAGGAAAGGAGTGTGTCAGAGTTATATTCTCTCTATATACCTATTTAATCTGTATACTGAGCAAATTATTTGAGGAGCTGGTCTCTATGAAGAGGAAGGTGGTATTGGGATTGAAGGGAGACTCATCAATAACTTGCATTGTGCAGATGACACAACCCTTCCTTCTGGAAGTGAGGAGGACTTGAAGCAATTGTTGCAGAAAATCAGAGTATAGCCTTCAATATGGATTGCATCTGAATGTCAAGAAGACAAAGATTCTTACCACTGGACCGACAGGCAACATCATGATGGATGAAGAAAAGATTGAAACTGTCAACAGCTTCATCTTACTTGGATCCACAATTAACATCCCTGGTACTGGCAATCAGGAAATCAGGAGACATATTGCACTGGGGAAGCGTGAAGTTAGGGACCTCTCCAAATTATTGAGGAATAATGGTGTCAGTTTGAGGACTAAGTAATCTGATTCAGGCCATGGTTTTTCTGATCACTTGCTATGCACCTGAGAGCTGGATGGTGAATAAGGACAAGAAGCATTGATGGCTTTGAGCCTATGGTGTTGGAGAAGAGCACTGAACATCCCATGGACTACCAAGAGAACAAACAAATATACCCTGGAAAGGATACAGCCAGTGCTATTTGGAGGCAAAGATAATGAGGCTTTGCCTCTCTTTGGGCATGTTGTTAGGAGGGGCTATTCTTTGAAGAGGAACATGATGTTTGGAAATGAAGGAGAGGAAAATCCTCACCCAGGTGGATTGACACAGTGACTGCTGCAATGGGCTCTAGTGTGTCAGGAAGCGTGAGGATAGCACAGGGTAGGACAGGGTTCAGAACTGTTATTCATAGGGTCATTATGGGTTGTACTCATCTTGGTGGCACATAACAACAACAGCCAACATCTTGGAGAGTCTTTTCAGGTCTCAGCCCCATTTCCTCTTTCTCATCTAATAACCTCACCTTCACCCCCAGGAGAAGTTCTACTTCCAAAGCAGATTGAATCCACCTGTCCAGCCCACCTGCTCTCAGGAAATCAGACACTGGAGTCAGAAATTAATGAAGCAGAGAGAGTGGGAGTGAGAAGAGGAAGTGGGAGACAGGGAAGAGATGTGAAGAGGGGCAAAAGAAGGTAGGAGGGGAGAAGAGAGGAAGCAGAAGGAAAGAGGAGGAGGAGGAGGGTGGGGAGAGAGGAGCAGAGTGTTTGGTCTCTACTCCGAAGCAGGAAATCTATTTGCACGACTGTTAATTCTCTCAAAGACTGAACAGGATGGATATAGTTCCTTCTGTTTGAACCAATGGAAAAAACAGACTGCAAGATATTAAGTCCAGGTCACACAGTGGAGGCAGGATTTGAACCCAAGTCTCTCTCATTCCAAAGCCATTCAGTTTGGTATCCCTTTCTAACAGATGGACCATAGTCGAGATTCCAAATGAATGTACAGGTGGAGAGAAAGAAAGAGGGGGTGAAAAGTACCCATGGATGGGGAGGTGGCAGGAGATGAACCAGGCTGGACCCTGGCTCTGCAGGATGAGTGGTTCCCAAGGACCCCACAGTTTTCATTTGACCAGAAGGTTCTGAGAACTCTTGCCCTCACTATTCTGGCCCTCTGTGATCCAGGAGCTTGCTGAACATTTTCACCCGGACAAGAATTTGCCTGCATACAGTATGCAGCCTCCCCCTAAACGTGATCCTCACCCCCCCACCACCACCAGCAGAACACCCACCCTACATCCATCTCTACATCCTCTCATCACTCCCAACCCCCTCCACCAGTCCATCATTGCCCCCCCCATAGTACTGTCCTCTTTGTCCCCATCTCCCCTGCCTTATTTTGTCACCACAACCCTCCCCTCTCTGTGGGGCCATTGTAACAGCTGCCAGAGTCTCAACCTGGCCACTCCTAGCTGGACCACATCACTTCTTTGAACTTCAGTTTTGCTCTGTGTTGAGAGCAACAACACAGTGATAGTGTCACCCCACATGGTGGTGGTAGATGAGTGATCATGGATGGAGAGGGTTTAGCAGGTGGTACCAAAATTCTCTTTAAAAAAAAATAAAAATAAATACAACTGCCCCCATGGCTCAATTTTCAGTGAAAATACAGACTAGTAGGTAAGGCGAGCAGAGCACTAGAGAAAGCTCTGGTGATGTAATGCGTAATCTGTCAGGCTGCTAACCCAAAGGGCAGAATTTCCTATAAAGAAATCGCTGGTCGATGGGTCAGAGTCCTGATGGGATTATGAGCAGGAATCTACACAATAGCAATGAGTTGGGTTAGTTTGAGTAACAGTAGGGGAGATAGGTATCCCTCAGAACAATCAATCATTCAAGATTAAGGGACAAGCTTTGCCTAAAGACAAAATTTAGTGGCCAGGAAGGGATGGAAGGAAGGAGGAGCGGAAAGTGGAAATCCATTGGGAAGATGGGATGGATGGGGAATGTAGTCGGTAGCATGAAACAAAATATATATGATCTGTTGAATGAAAAAACTTATTCGCTTTGTAAACTTTCACTCAAATCACAAAAGAAGAAAGTTAAACTTTAAAAAAAAAAAAAAGAGTGTTTATGGTTACAAGGTTGGGCTCCAGGGTTATGAGACGGTGATGTAGAGATAAGTAGGATTTTCTAAAGAGCTAGCTAAATTGCTCTGTGAAAGAAGTGACCAGGCATACGGGGGTTGGGGAAATCTACAAATAGGGAGCCTGAAGAGGGGACATGGACAGGCTGGGGTGTGGCTATGCGACAGAGGGGGAGGCACTCTGAAAAGACAAGGAACGGGCATATCTTATCAACATAGACATTCTACTTCTCTGACGTAACCCCTTCCATTTCTACGATGCTCAGTAAAATTTTCTACACCTCTGAATGTTTCATCAGTGGGTGCTTCAGAAAAACCCACGGATTACATTCTGGATTGGAACCAAAAGCAACCAGTTAGGGTCGAGTGGACTATGACATTCTTATGTGTTAGAACAGAGAATAGGGTTTGCAGGGGCTGACTTTTTAGAAGTAGATCACTAGGCCTGTTTTCCAAGGTGCCTGTTTGTGGTCTCTAACCTCCACCTTTTCAGTTAACAACTGAGAGTTGATCATTTACATCATCCAGGGATTCAGGTCTGAATCAAGTGGAGAGTAAAGCCAGTGAGCAAGGTGTAGCAGCAGAGGGTCAAAGATATGGAGGGAAAGACAGGAGTCCCACAGCCTGTATCTTTCAAGTGGATTGCGCCTGAATTTCTACAGATAATCCTTGTGGGACTATGATGATTATTAATACAAGGGATTTGAGGATAAGACCAGAAGAGTTTCTGATTGGTTCTACAAGTAGCTCTTTACCTAGAACCCACCAATGGAGACAGAGGGTGCCTTACAAAAGCCATAGCAACCATAGAGCCCGCCCCTGTGCGTGGGGCCACCTCTCACCTTCCAAGGGTACACCACCTTCTTGGTGCAGCTGGTCTGGTTGCATCCCAGGAGACTGTGCAAGGCGTGGGCCACCGCGTAAACAGCGGAGTACACGTTGAAGACCACACGCTCGCCGGTCAGTGTGAGGATACTGTTGAAGGACTCCGTGATGTTCAGGCACCTGTCACACTCCTGGTTGCAGGTGGACGGCGGGCTGGTCTTGTTGGGTGTGGGCGGCCCGGCCTGGGAATGGCGCACCCGGAACTCGCTGAAGCGTGGGATGGACACGCTCTGGGTGGTGATGCCCAGGAAGGTGCCCATGTGGCGCAGCTCGGAGTAGTTGTGCAAGACCGGGTCGATGGACCAGGACTCGGAGGCAATCCACACGGTGCCGGAAAAGTTCTGGCGTAGTACCTCGAGGAAGAAGCAGCGCAGCGTCAGGTCGGGCGAGAGCAGGACCACGACGTGCGCCGTGCTGTTACGCACCTTGTCCACGATGGTTACCAGGTGCTCCTGCTCGCTCGCCGTCAGGGCCAGGTTGGCCTGCGGGGTGGGCAAGGTCTCCTGGAAGGCGATGCAAATGCCCTCAGCCGCCAGCTGCTCGCTGAGCACCTTACTATTCTCGCGGCCGTAGTCGTCGTTGCTCACCAGCATGATGATCCAGTTCCAGCGGTACTGCTTCAGGAGCAGCACCATGGCCTTCATCTGGTGCTCCGCGCCAGGCACGGTGCGCAGCACCGCGGGGAAACGTCGCTTGTCGCGCAGCTCGTCGCTGATGGCGCTGTAGGTGATCTGATGAAAGGGAAAGGACTGCGCTTAGCCGGGGGGGGGGGGGGGCGCCTAGTGCCTGGCCTGGGGCCCCCATGCCCCATTTGTCATCTCCTGAAATTTAGCGAACACGTACAGGGAAGCCCCAGGAAGTAGGTGGTTTCACACCATCCCCATGGTCCTGGTTGTGGTAACGTTTAATGAGAACCAAGGGCATGCTCTATCCATAATTGACTTACCCCAGTGCCATTGGTGTTCAGTGCCGTCTGGTGGACTGCTCATAGGCAGCCTATTATGAACAAGAGATCTGAACCTTACCCCGTCCTGCTCCATCCTCATAACCTCTGGTTTGGTCAGGCCCACTGTTCCAATCACTTTATCAGTCCATCGTGCTGAGGCTCTTCCTCTCTTTCCCTGACCCTCCACCTTTCCCAGCATGACGTCTTTTTCCAACAACTAGCTTTCCCTAAAAACATGCCCAAAGTATGTGAGAGGCCGTTTCACCATCTTTGTTCCTAAGGAGCACCCTGGCTGCTCTAAGACAGATGTGTTTGTTCTTTTGGAACATATAAGAAGAAGCTACTGTGTGCCAGACACTACACCAGTATCAATATGATTACCTTTGTAATAACATTTCCTGAACACCTACCGTGTGTCATTCTCTGTGCTAGGTGCCCTTCCTCAACAGCAGCCTCATATTTATAATCAAGCAACACTGAACACTCACTGTGCGTGGCACCTGGCCTACATGATTTGTCTCCTCACCAGCACCTGGATACAGAAGCGAGCACCTACTATATGCCAGGCCCTGAACCAGAGGGTTTAGATTCCTACCATCATGACTTTTTTTTTTGAGGACCTACTGTGTGCCACCCCAGAGGCTGTTTTTGCATCAGTAACACTTTGGTGACTGCTGTAATTACAGAGTGTATCTACTGGGCACCATGGCCTGGGCTAGGGGGTCTAATACCATTAACATCATTGTCATCTTGTGCATTTTTTATACTACCTGCTGTGCTAGATCCTGAGAAGTGCTTTACCCTGCTATCCTGGTAGTTATCAATATAGGAACGTGGTAGGAATCTAATGTGTGGGCTGGTGATTTAAAGAATAATAATTGTAGAACTGTACATGTGAAGATTACTTATTATCTAGATACTTAACCACAAAAATGTAGCAACAAAATAACAATATTATTGTTGTTGTGTGCTGTTGAGGCTACTACTACTCATATCAACCCTATGAACAAATAGCTCTGAATATTGCCCTATCCTGAGCCAATCTCACTGTCTCCAACACACTTGATCCCATTGCCACAGTCACTGTGTAAAACCATCTGATCCAGGATCTTCCTCTCCTGCCCTAGCCCTCCGCCCTCCCAAGCATGAAGTCCTTCTCCAAGGACTGGTCCCTCCTCACAACATGCCCAAAGTGTGTGAGACGGAGCTTCAAAATCATTGCCTCCAAGTCTGTCTGGTTTCACCTTCTCCAGAACAGACAAGTTTGTTCTCTTAGCAGTGTATGGTATGTATGTGCAATACTCTTCTTCAGTACCACAACTCAGGGGCATTTATTCTTCTTCTGTCATCATTAGTCTTTGTCCAGCTCTCAGATGACTATGGCCTGGATCAGGCTCACCCTAGTCTCCAGACTGATGAGGTCTGGTGGCCTAATGGTAAGAAGCTGCACTGTAAACCTAAAGGCACACAGTTCAAATCAACCAGCTGCTCCATGGTAGAAAGATGGGTAATTTCATCCTGTGTGTTTTATTGCCTCTGAAAATATGCTGGAAGTTCAGCTACAAGTCAACAACAAATAACAGTATTACTAACATGTAATTAATATCATCTTAGTGCCAAGCCCTGGCATAGATGCTTTGACAATAGTAAACACATCTAGTAATACCCATTGAACACGTGTGAGGTATACCCTTGACTTTTGTTGTTGTTAAATGCTTCCGAGTCAAGTATGACTCATGGCAACCCCATGAACAACAGATCTGAACGCTATCCTATCCAATCCCTCACCATCCTCAACATCTCTGACACCCATGCTGCAGCCACTATGTCAACCTATCTCATTGAGGGTCTTCCTCTCTTTTGCTGACTCCTCACCATTCCAAGCATGATGTCCCTTTCCAAGGAATCGCCTGTCCTAGCAACATACCTGAAGTATGTGAGCCTAAGCTTTGCCATTCTTGCCTACAAGTGCTTTACAAATAGCAACAATGATTGTAACAATAGTTGTGATGATAATAATGTTTACTGAACATGTGATGTGCTAGACCTAGGTCAAGGTGATTTCTGCCACTGTCATCGAGGTCATCCTCACGGTAATTTTTATTGAGCACCTATTAGGCCCCTGAATGAGTTCCTTAAAGTGACGTTGTAATGGTGCTAGTGACCTACTATGTGCCAGGCTGACACTAAATGCTTCATATCATGATGATGATGCTATTTTCCTCAACATCAGCCTCATGTTTACCATCAAGCAACACATATTGAGCACCCATTGTGTGTGACACCCTGAGCTGAACACCTTTCATCTTCATCAGCACCTGGATAGATTTATTGAGCATGTATTATATGCCAGACCTACTGTGTGCCCCTGAGCACAGAACTTTCTTTCTCACCACCACCATCATCATCATCAGGATCTAGCCACATGTATTCCTTGACCTCAGGACTCCACACTCTCCGGGTTTTCTTTCTAATTCACTGGCTGCTCCACCTCATCCACTGGTTCCTTCTCTTCTCTCTGACCTCTTAACTTTGGAGGATCCTAGCTCTTGGACCCCTTCGGGCAATGTCTAATGTATAGCCCTGACCTGAACGTTTCTCCTAAACATCAGACTAGTAGTTTCAATGCCTATATGGCACCTCAAATCTAACACCTACAAAATGAAATTTCTAGCCTCACTGAACAAATTCCACTACAACCTTCCCCATATCAGCTGACCAAAGACATATCCTTCCAGCTGCTCTAGACACAACTTTGAAGTTGTTCCTGACAACTTCCTATCATATGTGTGACGTTCAATCCATCAGTAAGTCACATTGACCCTGCTAATGCCCAAAAAAATGTGTTTTCCCAATGTCCACCAACTCCCTTCTCTTTTCTGGTCCAAGTCACCACCATCCCTGGTCCCAAGCACTTCAATATTCTGCATTGTTCACATCCTATAATCTATGCTTAACATGACAGGCAGGGTGACTCAGTTAACACACGTATCAAGTCCTATTTCTCCTCTGCTCAAATAACTCGAACCAATAGCATCCTTGATGATGATGAAGGAAGTCTGCTCCTCTGATATCAACCCTCATGATGCCACTGTCTTGGCAATCTCTGTTGTACCGGTCCACTTACTTCTGTTGTAGACAGCTATACCCCTGCCACCTCCCAGACTGCTACTGCAGTCATTCTGGTGTCATCCCCTCTAGCAGGGTGTCTCCTGTTGCCTAGTGTGTTAACTTCTCACCTTCACATACATCCAGTCCAACAGTCAGGATATGGGGACCCCTCACACCAGCCATTGAGCAGAATAGTCTCTGCTTTGGGCAACGGGAGAAGAGAGAAGTTGTAGGGAGTCTTGGGGGTCAACTGTGGATAGGCTGCTCAGCCTATGGGGAGGAGGGTCACCAACCAGCCCCTTACCCAGGAGAATATAGGTTACTGCACTGGATGATACCCACTGTGGTGAAACCACTATCTCCAACAACTCCTAATGTCATTTGGAAATGCCGGTGTCATTTTAATGGTCCCTGTGGAGCTCCACCAGTTCCTCTGGTCCCAGTACCCTCCTGTCTTTGCACTAGCAGACCTCTCTTCCTGGGGTGCTCTTCTCCTGGACACCCATATGACTTCTTCCACCTCCCTCTACCTTCTCAAGTCTTTCCTCACCTGACCCATTTGCTTAAAATTCTGATCTCTTTCTATGCACTCTTTCCTATCCGTCAACACTCTTAGTCTGCCTTACCCTACTCTAACTTCTTTTTCCCATTGCACTATTCACCTTCTAGGGAGCTCTGGTGGCCAGATGGGCAAGGTGTTGTGCTACAAACCCAAAGGCAGAGGTTTTGAAGTGACCAGCTGTTCCATGGGAGGAAGGTGGGCAATCCTTTTCCAGGCTATTACAGCCTCTGAAAGGCTGTAATACAGCTAGAGGACCAGCGGTGAATTCGTTTCAGCTCAACAATATATAACAGCAACTTTCACCATCTAACATCCTTAATCACTTAACTCTATAAGTTGTCTGACTTTCTCCACTGGAAGAGAAATCCTTTTGTTTTCTTCCCTAGATCATTCCCAGATTCTATAATGGTACCTGTCTCTCCAAAGATGGTTGTTACCAAATGGACTCTAATTCACGACGACCTCAAGTATTTCAGAGTGGAAGCATGCTCTATAAATGGAGTTTCTAATGGCTCATTTGGGGGGAGGGGGGAAGCAGCTTTCCAGGCCTGTTCTGGGGATTGTCTCTGGATGGACTTGAACTTCTAAACTTTGAGTTAGCTGCTGAAGATGTTAATCACCTATATCATCCAAGGACTCCTGCATTAACCAGAGACTCCAGCAGGAACTCCCTAAGTACTTGTTACATAAGCAAAGGTATGAATTCAGTCCAGGGTTAGATGTTTCAGGTAAGACATCACCACCTGTTGAACACTACGATGTGCCAGACTCTCTACTAGTCACTTAACATGACGAGAACTATAGTAATAACTACAGTACTTGTAATCACCGTGTGCCAAAGGGGCCTTGATAACACAATGATGAATTAAAAAGTCGGTGCATCCAACCCACCAGCTGCTCCATGAAAGAAAATATCTGTTGATCTGTTGCTATAAAGGTGGGGTGGTGGTGGTTAGATGCCTTCTAGTCGACTATGACTCACAGCGACCCTGTGAACAGCCCTGAGTCTTTTCCTCTCCTGCCGTCACACGCAAGCCCATTGTGAGTCACTGTGCTGATAGTTTGTTGAAGGTCAGCCCTGGAAACCCTGTGGAGCAGTTCTACTTTGTTCTACAGGGTTGTTACGAGTAGGAATCAACTCGACAGCATCCAACCACAACAACAATGTGCCAAGTCTTGTGCCAGGTACTCTTCCTGAAATCACAATCTCTGCTAGTTCTGGTTTATGCACGTTTCATCACAATGATAATAATCAAAACACTAACGACAATTTTAAAGATCTGCTATATGGACCACTCTGCGAAGCAATTTTATATGATCATATTGAGCACATCCTGAATGTTCAGTCCTGTGTGAGATGCTTTAAATAAAGTGTTATTCATTGCCAACTCTGTGCTGGAAATTAATGAGGTTGGAACACTTTCATCTTCAGATAGTCTTGTTCCACTCTACAGAGGGGAAGTGGGGGTGGGGGTTACTGAGGCTGAGGGTTGAGACTTGATCAAGGTCTCCCAGTGGGCAAGACACAGAGCTGATTCCCTCACGTCTGTCTGCCTCTGAAGACTGAGCTCTAAGGCTCAGCTCCCTTCCCAAGATGGAGGAAGGCGACCAGGATTTGAGGTCAATGTCCTGAACCTGCTTCTGAGCCCACCATCGCCACCCTTCATGAATGGTGGAATGAAAAGACCCCTCCAGACAACCACTCCTCCACCACCTCCCCAGACCCTTTCTTCAAGGGCCCAGAGCCTCACCTGTGGAACGAGGAAGAGGGAGAGGAAGTGGGCCACAGTTGTGGTGGACTCAGAATTGTCAGGACCAATGACGGCCACGACGCGGGGCACATAGCTGCTGTAGTTGTCCTGGATGGGCAGGAAGTAGTCGTCATGTGACAGGAAGTAGAGCACAGGCTGGATGTTGTTGGAGACATAGCAGATGTCCACCATCTCGTAACCCAGCAGCACACCAGGCAGCAGGCTGCTGTGGTTGTTAATCTCCTCCACGGCGTAGCGCATGGCCTGCATGAGGTTGTAGCCCAGGACTTTTATCTCATACCTGGAGGGGCCAAAACAGGATGGGACAGGAAGCAGGGGCAGGGTGAGGAGGGAAGGAGGCTGTGGAGCCAACTTGGTCCTCCCGCCTACCTTGAGAAGTCAAACATTGCCCAAGGAGTTGCCCCAGAGGTTTTGAGACTTTTACCACATCCTTGTCACTGTATCCCATGCCTAGTATCACCATTGTCACTAAGGTTGCATGACAAAAAGATACCTATGGTCATGATCACTACAACCAGTGTTACCATCATCACCTCCCTGTAACCTCCACCACGATACCAAACCAGTGTCACTAATCTGTGTGACCACCATCTTAACCATGAAGCTGCCAAAGATTTCATCTTGCTTGCATCAATAATCAAAATTCTTGGTACCAGCACTCAGGAACTCAGATGTATTACATTGGGTAAGTCCACTGTCAGGGACCTCTCAAGAATGCTAAGAAGTAATGGTAAGTAAGTTTGAAGACAAAGGTGCACCCGATTCAGCCCGTGGACCTCTCAATTACCTGCTATGTATCAGAAAGCTGTGCAATGAATAAGTGTGACAGAAGAAGAATTGATGCATTTGACTTGTGATATTGACAATCCCATTGACCACCAAAAGACCAAAGAGATACATTGTTAAGAAAGTACAGCCAGAGTGCTCCTTGGAAGCAAAGACGGCGAAGCTTCATCTTTCATTCCTTGGACTTGTAGCTGGGTGAGGCTCTTCGTTGGAAAGGGACCTCATGTTTGCAGATATGGAGAGTCATCGAAGGACAGAAAGACCCTCAGCAAGATGGATTGTCAGGGTGACTTCAGCAATGGGTCTAGTGTGTCCAAGATGATGAGGATGGCATAAGATAGCACAGGCTTCAGGACGGCTGTTCATAGGGTCATTATGAGTCATACTCGACAGCACCTAACAACAAAGACAACAACAATCTCCATCATCACCACCTTCATCATTGTCGTCATCCACTGCTCCTATTGCCAATATTTACCATCACTAGTATCACTGGGAAAGAGGAGTGGCATCCACTTCTGTAATAGCTTGCCTCCAGAAACCCTATGAACCTGGAGAGAGGATGAAAGGCACCAGAGCGTTGAGGACTCTCCTTCATAGGGTCGCTATGAGTCGCCTGCGACTTGATGGCACTTAACAACAACACAACAGTATCACTGAGTCCATAGCCCTGTGACCATAAGTGCACACAACTACCACCACCATCTGCACCACCACCGTTAAAATTATCACTACCAAACCATAATCTCCACTACTAACATCACTGTCACCACCACTACAAGACCCCACAACCACAATCACCATCACCGTTACTAACACCAATGTCTCTGCTACTAATAACAGCACCACCTATCCCATCACCATTGTCACCATCGTCACCAGTACCGTCCCCATCACAGTGCTCCCCTTTTTATTATCACCAGTACTACCATTATTGCATTACAAGCATCACCACCATCACTTTCATCACCATTATCATCTTCACTGGACTCCTCGCTGCTGTGATGGGCTTAAGATATCCTCACCAACTTCGTATTTTATCCCAGCACCAGCACCACCTTCACCATTCTCACAGAAGTCTTCCGTCAACCTTATACACAAATGGCGTACTTCTTAAAGAATCCCAAACCCATGGCCACCAAGTTGATTCCTCCTCATGGGGTTGTTAGGTGCCATCAAGTTGAATACAACTCATAGGGATCCTATGAACAATAGATCTATTACTGTATCCTACACCATCCTCACTATTTCTGTCAGGCTCAAGCTCATTGTGGTAGTCACTGCATCTTTTTTTTTTTTCTTTTTACTTGTTGTGTGCTGTCAAATCTAATCCAATGGGCACAGGAAGAAATCCCCCTCCTTCTTCAGTGGAGCATCTGGTGGATTCGAACCTCATGCCTTCGGGATTGCAGAGCAGCTTCTTGCCACTACATCACCAGAGCTCCCTATGACACTGCATATTGTTAAAGGTTGTCTTCTCTTTTGCTGATCCCTCTAACTTTCTCAGCATGACGTGTCTCTCCAAGAATGCATTCTTCCTGAAAATATGTCCAAAGTGAGATAAAGTTCCTTGCTTCTAAGAAGCCCTCTGGTTTTACTTCCTCCAGGACAGATTTGTTTGTTCTTTTGGCAGTGTATGGTAGCTCCAATACTCTTCACCAACACTATAACTCAAAGACATTATTTCTTTTTTTGGTCTTCTTTATTCGTTGTCCAACTTTCAGATGCACATGAAAGAGCTGACAATATCATGTCCTGAATCACACACCTCTTCGTATTTAAAGTGACATCCTTGCTCTTCAGAACTTTGGAAATGTCTTCAACAGCTGATTTTTCCAATGCAACATATCTTTTAATTTCCTAACTGCTGCCACCATGAGTGTTGATCGTGGATCCAAGTAAAATTAAGCCCCTGATAACATCAATTTTTTCTCCATCTATCATTAAGTTGCTTATTAGTATAATGATAAAGTTCCTGTTTAATTGATGTTGAGATGTAACCTACATTGAAGACTGAAGTCTACAATCTTCTACAGTATGTTCTTCAAGTGTTCTCCACCTTCAGCAAGCAAGGCTGTGCCATCTGGGTAACAGAGGTTGTTGATGAGTCTTCTTCTAAGCCTGATGACAAATTCTTCTTCAAAGTCTAGCTTCTCAAATTATTTGCTTGGCATACAGATCGCCACCAAACTATGAAAAACTGTGAGATGAGTGTTGGATGTATAATTTCAACTCATAACAACCCTAAATAACAGAGTAGAACTGCCCTTTAGAATTCGCAAGGCTGTACATTTTTATGAGAGCAAATTGTCTTATCTTTCTCCCACAAGTGACTGGTGATTTTGAATGACTGACCTTTTGGTTAGTGGCCCAACCCTTAACCTACTATACTAAAAGTCTCCTTGTGTTTCTCATACTAAAAAACCCAAACCCACTATTATCCAGTCAGTTTCAACTCATAAAGAGACCCTCCACCAGGTTTTCAAAGCTTTGCAGAAGACTGCCCATCTTTCTCCCTTAAATAACTGGTGAGTTTGAATAACTGACCTTCTGGTTAACTACCTTCATCATCTTTTGCCCCAGGAACTCTTGTGGCAAAATGATTAAGACTCAACTGTTATTTGAAAGGGCATTGGTTTGAACTCACTAGTGTTTTAGAATCAAAGATTTTGAAGACTCTGTGAGGCTTCCCTAGGGACCTTGGGGTTGGATCCCAGGTTTCAGGGGATGGCAATGAGTCGAGGAGTGTGTCCTAAACTCACAGCCCTGTACCTCCCCAGGACCAGAACACCAGTTTCCACCCCACTACCATGTCCAGCCTTACACTGGAGACTCACTCCTTGCACTGGGGCACCTGCAGGTAGTTGAGGTGGACGATGCCCTTCATGTTGGCGTGGATAGTGAAGAGGCCCCCCAGGAGGTAGTCTCCAGCCAGGTGGAAATCTGAGTTCTGAGACTCGATCAGAATGTACAGCAGGAGGAACAAAAAGCAGACCACACTGGCCTGGGAACTCATGGCTGCAGACTGAGGTCCTCACAGATAGTGCTACCGTGCCAGAGAGCTGGTAGCTCTGACATCAGGGGCTTTGCATGAACATTTCCATAGTGATGGTCCAGCCACCAATGACCGGAGGGGTGGTGAAAATAATCACCTGGGGCAGGTGGGGAGGTTGGAGGGCTTTGGTGAGGAGGAGGGCTGGGGTTAGACTGATCCTCTCTCAGGGTTTAGTGGAGCTGGGATGGTCAGGGATGGGGGACCCTATTTGGAAGGGAGCATGTGTGTCTAGTGAACTGAGCCAAACTCGCTTTCTTCCCCTGGTTCAGGACAGGCCCCATGTTCCTGACGTTTGAACATTTGGGAGGAGGGATGCCAGGTGATGCCACATCAGGAAATGGAGTAAGGTGGTGAAAAGAACCTCTTTTTTAGAGCCTGACCAAGCTGGACTTGAAGTGTGGCAATGCACTCTTGCACCTGACCCTTCGTTATTGGTGTTTTCTGCTTTTGACTTATGTCTCCAGCTTAGGATGACCCTGTGAACAACAGAGCCAAATGATGTTGATTCTACACCATCCAAGAGAAAGATGGTGGATTGGCTGTGAGCTTGGAGCTCTCATTGTCTGATTTTCAGAAGTAGATGAGCAGACTGGAAGCTCCACTGAAACCTGTTTAGCATGCAAGCCTCCAGTGACAGGTACATGGTGGTTAGCCATGGGCTGCGTTGGCTGAGACACCTGGGTCTCCTACCTCTAAGCCACCACCACTTCCTTTCCCGTAACAAGGGACCACAAAAGCAGTGACTGCTGTCACCAAGAACCTCCAGTGAGTGCCTGCAATGCAATGAGCCTGGCACCATGCTAAGTGCTTGTCACCCGTCATCTCGTTGAATGCTCACCATAGTGGGAGCCACTACTTAAAAAGTTCATTTCAAAGATTAAGAAATTTAGATCCAGGAGAAGCAGAGCTGAATTTACAGCCAGACTGACTCTGGGCCTTTGTTCTTAATCTCCAGGTCTCATTATATTGTGAGGCTATTGCTTTTGATTTTAAAACAGTAGCAGCATCAAAGAGAGTGAGGGAGCAGGAGTAGGTGAGGAGTGGTCTTGCTGCCTCTGAAGGATGCCCGCCGTCAGCCTCACAAGCCAGTCAGTTCTGCAAGGTGAGCCCCCTCTGGCTGCTCTCCTTCTGACCTGATGTTGAGGGGCAGGGTGATGACAAGGAGTGTAAAATGCCCCATATCAAACGTGACCCTCTTCAAGGAGTTGGAAGTAGGGAGGTGGTGTCTGTGAATTAGAGTCCTATTTGAATCAGAGACTATTTGCCACGTAATAAAGGAGCCATGGAGGCACACTGGTGAAGCACACAGCCGCTTATCAAAAGGACAGCAGTTCCAATCTACCAGCCACGCCTCAAGAGAAAGGTGTAGCAAAACGCATTCATAGACTCCAGCCCTGGGAATCATGGAGGGTAGTTCCTCTGCCCTGTGGGGTCACTGTGTACCTTGATGGTCAGAGAGTTCCTTGGAATGCTGTTTTGTTCCATTCTTGCCCTGATAAAGAATGCAGCCCACCAGGACTCTTAGGGGACCTTATAATAATACAGGCTCAGATGAGTCTGTGACAGGCACCAACAGCTGCTACATTCTGGGTCCATGGTGACAGGAAGCTCTGAGGGATAAAGAAGTGACTTAAAACCTTCCCTCCTCACTCGGCCAAAACCAGTCTGAGTCTGTTTTCTGAGAGTAGCAACAGCCCTCTCTCTATTCACTTGACATCAGTTAAGAGGCTCATGTGACTGGCCAGCTCCTGGTGTGTGTGTGTGTGCGCGCGTGCACAGGGGACCATGAGGTGGCATGGCCCCGGTCAATCTGGATTTGAAGTCAGCTTTGTTTGCCGTATGTGATCAGGTTACTTATCATCTCCAAGGCTCTGCTTGTCCCCTGCTGAAATCATTATCAGTTGCCATTGATTTGAGTCTGACTCTTGGTGACCTTATGTCAGATAGAACCTTCCCCTGGCTTTGCGTCGTTTTTGTGATCACTGGTACATTTGAGCACATTTGTTGTGACAATTCCCTGCTGATGTGAGGATAACAATATGCCTTACAGGACTGGTGTGCGGAGTGCTGTGGAGACTGCAAGCGCAACTCACAGGGGGCGGAGCAAACCAGGGAAAGAGGAGTTAGCAAAGAGCATTAACAGCTTCAGCTTACTCGGCTCCACAATCATACCTCTTGGCACCAGCAGTCAGGAAATCAAAGGGCGAACTGCATTGAAGAAGTCTGCTGTCAGGGACCTCGCTGATACCTGGGCACCATCCAGTTGTCCTGGTCTTATGGTAAAAGAGGCAATTGCTCATGGAGGCAGTTGACCACACATCCTTATGATTCACTCTTGCTTTATGGGTTGGATAGCCTCCTCCTTATCTACCTAGTTTACATAGGCTCAGAGAGAGACAGAGACAGATCTAGATCACATGACATATTTTTATTCTTTCCATAGCACCAGGAAACTTTAAATGTTGGTGGGGTGATGCCACCCCAGGAGAGGAGGTAAGGGTAGAGGCAGCTCCCTCAATTCTGGAGTGGCTAAGGCGTCAAATCCTTCAGGGTAACTTGGAGTTTTGGCTTTTTCAGAAGGGTGGGCATGGAAAGCATGATATGCCCCCTCTTCACCACACACAGCAGTTCATTATGTTGTTGTTGTTATGTGCTGTCAAGTCATTTGCGACTCTTAGTGACCCTATGTACAACAGCTCTCAAACCTGTCCTCTCCTGAGCCAGTCTCTTGGACTCGGACACACCCAATGCCATTGTCTCAGTTATTTTGTCAATCCACCTCATCTGGGGGCTTCCTCTCCTGTGCTGTCCCTCCACTCTTCCAAGCATGTCTCTCCAAGGACTGGTCCCTCCTGGCCATGTGCCCAAAGTGTGTGAGCCAGAACTTCAAGATCTTTGCCTCCAAGGAGAAACTTGGTTTCACTCTCTCTCAGACAGACCTATTTGTTCTCTTGGTGGTCCATGGTATGTTCAAGACTCTTCTGCAGCATGACAACTTAAAGGCATAGATTCTTATTCTGTCATCTTTAGTCGTTGTCCAGCTCACAGAGGCATAGCAAGTAATTGCAAAGACCATGGCCTGGATCAGACTCACCTTAGTCTCCAGACTAACGTCATTGCTCCTCAGCACTCTGGAGAGGTCTCTAAAAGTAGACTTCTTCAATGCAATTAGTCTTTTGATTTCCTGACTGCTGGTACACTGTTGATTGTGGAGCCAAGCAAATTGAAACTGTTAACAACCTCAATTTCTTCTCCCTCTATTGTGGTGCTGTCATTTGGCCCAGTGGTGAGATTCTTCTTGATGTTAAGCTTCAATCCACATTGAAGACTACAGTCCTTTAGCTTCTGCAGCAAATTCAGGTCCTCCTCAGTTTTAGCAATCAAGGTTGTTGAGTTTTCCTCTAATCCTGATGACACATTTCTTCTCACAAAGTCTTGAATGATTTGTTCTGCATATACATTGAAAAGGTATATGCACTTGATGCACTCCCTTCCTGATTTTATTACCAAACACTATGACCAAAGAATCCATGGAAACAGTCATGATTAAAAGGGAGAAAATGCAGAACAGAATTTAAGATTGACATGGAATCCATGGAAGCATAGTGAGATAATCTCTAACCAAACAAACAAAAAAATATTATCTTAAAGCCAAACAAAACCAGCAAGGAATATCTACTGTGAATAATACCTATAGAATATAAAAGTGACAATACCAACTTGAAAAATTAAACAGAAACCTTGAGGGGATGGGTTTATGTAAATGTTGGGAAGAACAACTCAGATAAGGAGGAATGACTGCACAACTCAAAGAATGCAAGTTTCAAGTGTAGAAATTGTTAGCATATTTTCTCCTGTGTATTTGCAACAAAAAGTCATTTTCAAAGATGTTTCCTTTTATCTCCAGCTCCCTAAAAAATGTCAGGGAGGTTGAAGCACAAGTAAAGGTGGTGCCTGGAAGGGTCCAGTTTGTGGCTGTGCTCCAGGGACAGGGCTATGAGGACAGACTTGGCCGTCAGAGGCCTATCATTTTCCAATGGTTTATAAGTCACTTAACCCATCTGTGCCTCAGTTTTCTTATCTATAAAATGGGAACAATAGCATGTATCCTATGGGGTTGCTGAGAGGTACTAAGGAGATGACATCCAAAACATCTCATAAAGTGCCTGGCACACAGCCCATGTCCAAGTACTGGTGACTGTCATTATTTGAAGGGGGAGCCCTTGGTGGTGTAGTGGTTAACCATCGGGTTGAAATTAAAAAGTCAGTAGTTTAAACCCACCAGCTGTTCTATGAGGCTGTTTCGATAAAGACTTACAGCTTCAGAAACCTCATAGGGCAGTCCTGTAAGAATGGTGTGAGTCTTCTAACCTCACAGCAATGGGTTGGGTTAGTCATTTTTTACTGTGCTGCCCTCTAACCAGAGGATGTTCAAGAATGACGATGAATAGGTAGACGAATTCATTAAAGCAAGGATGTGGCTCTGTCAAGAGGGGAGGCCTGAGCTTTGCCATTAGTCCCAGCCCCCAGGGGCTCCAGGTCAGCGTGCGGAGATGACACAGGTGGCCCCTCATTTCCGTAGAGGGCATGCCTGGCTGGCAGCGCACGGCGAGGAGCAGGGACGTCCGGCCTCAGTCAAATGGTTCACGGTCCAAGCTCAGGCCTGTGGTTGGGCCCCCAGCCACAGTAGGGAAATGAAGAGGCCATCCCAGATCTGGGGATTTACTGTGGCGACCAGGCATTCAGGCATGCACTAGCCCTCAGGAACCATCAGGTCCAGATCTGGAGCGGGGGAGGGCAGAGGGTATAAGTAAGCATGGCTGTGCCAGACTGTGCTGCAAATGAAACGGAAGCAGAGGCCCAGGGTCCAGGAGGGGTCAGGTAAAGTGGTACGGAACTAGCTGATAAGTTGGGGGTCAGGAGTAGAAGGGGCAGGTGGGTGCTTTGGGTACCCAAAGACCTGGCTCCAAACCCCTACCCTTCCTACTCTCCAGCTGTGTGACCCTGGCCCTGTCACTTTACCCTTCTGCCCTCTATCAGTGTTTCTATGAAAGGTCAGGTCACTGTCAAAGCTTAATGGGACCACACAGATAGAACCTTTACCCAGTCATTGGCTAACACTGCTACTGTGTCCGTGACTTTGAGCAATTCATCCCACCCATTCAAAAACATCAACAAAGACTGCACACCTTTCGACTTTGAAATGCAGTTGCCACCAGTGCACCGCTCTTTGTGCCTAGACAGAGTCACTCAGGCTTCAGGACTGGGCCAGCTTTGCTCAGAGCTAAGCCTCCTCCTGCACAAATGAGTTGTGCCATAGGATCTGAACCAACCCACAGCTGACCCTCCACCGGGTGTTCAGAAGCTGTAAATCCCGCAGGAGATTGCCCCCCTTTCTCTGGACAAGCAGCTGGTGGATTTGAATTGCCTGACTTTGGGGTGGCAGCACAACTCCTTACCCACTAGGCCACCTCCTCAATAGGAAGACCTGCCAAAGGGTCACTCAATTCTGAGGATAACCAGGCCACTAACCCTGGTCAAATAATCTTCAGATGGGGTAGTGTCCATGTATTTTAAAAAGCACTGTCTGTGGGTAGTGCCACTCATCAATACATAGCTTTCTCTCCAGCTGGCTCACTGTGTGTGTCAACATGTCTACACTATGGTTCTGGTGGTTTGAGCAAACACTAGACTAGCTGCTGTCCCATACTGTAATGTAATAACCTTTCATAATGGAATGTGTAACCTAATCAGCCAGCTGAAAAGATGGTTTCCTAGAATCCCCTGCCATCCTCCTTCCATTGAGGGTGCTGTGTTCCGCCACCTGACAGCCCGTCAGCAAAGGTCATCCATCCCAGGAGAGGCTGGCTCCTTCCAATCCCACCAGAAAGACCACTGATGCAATTAAGTAACAGACATTTTATTGGGTGACACCAGGGCGAATGCCACCCCCCAGTGTAGAACTAGTTGAAGCAAGCACATCTCCCAGCCCAGATGCCTGCCCCTGCCTCACCCAGGGGAATGCTCCCCGTGCAGGTGACGTCAGCACATCCCGCTGGCCGTGGGCACAGTGCAAAGTGGTGGACCTCACTCAGAGTGGTCCCACACCCCCACAGGGCCCCACACCAGTGTTCTTTAAGGAGGTTCTTTGAAGGTCTTGCACTTTAAAACCCACTGGCATGGAGTCCGCTCTGACTCCCAGGGTTTCTAAGGATTCCGTTCTTTCCAAGAACAGGCTGGCACTTCTTTCTCCCTAGGGGGAGCTAGTGGATTTGACCTTTCGGTCCGGAGCTGAGCGCTTAAACACTGTGCCATCAGTGCTCCTCCCCAGCACTAAAAGTACTCTCAATTGTCACTTAGTTAAAAAAAAAAAAAAAGGCACCTCTTAAGAGATCCCTGGTCACCTGGAATCTAACCTAGAGGGCAATTTGCCAGTGGCCTCAGAGACCAGAGCACTCAGAGGGTTTATTTGCCAAGAAAGGACAATGATTTTGAACGTAAGGCCAGGGCTAGCTGGGAGAAAGGAGGGTAGTGCTGTGTCTCCCGCAGCCCAGTGGGGACCCAGCCCTGGAGGAAAGTTCCACCAACACAGGCTGAGTGGGACCGTTTCTAGGGTCAGGGCCAGAGGAGCGAAGAGAGCAAGCACAGGATGCAGACCTCCACAAGGTTTCCCAAAATCACAGCCCAAACAGGAAGGATCACCAGACCCTCACTGCGGAGTGGGCCTCAGTGGCCCCTTGGAGTCAGGGGGGCCACAGGTGGACAGAGGAATCCGGGCAAAAGGCACATGGGCATCTAAGGTGTATGGCTGGGTAGAGGTATCTGCTGGCCAGGACTGGTGTAGGCACCTCAGACTCAGGGGACAGTCCAGCAGGTGTCCCCTGCATCAGGCAGCAGCATTCACTAGCTCTGTGGGCCACCCCCAGCCGTGGAGACCAGGCAGCCTCAGGGAAGCAGCAGAGCCAAGGTCAAGTGGTTTGCCCCAGAGCTTCCTCCTTTTCCCCAAGGGATCGCAGGAACTGCCCCTCTTCCATTGCCAGGCTCTTGGGCCTTAGTACAGGGGAGAAAAATCATACAGAAGGCCAGACACAAAGGTCTTCCCTACTAGAAAGAATGTCTAGAATGAACTTCAGGGTCAGTGGTGGCAGTCCTGTTTCTCTGCAGCATGATTCAAACTCAAGTCAAGCCCCTGCCCTCAAGCAGTGAGTCAGAGGTGGGGGTGGGGGGCAGACCACAGGCCAGTGGAGCACAAGATATGTGACCTCAGTACTGTGAAGTGGGTCATCCCTGGAAGAGCCGGGTAGAAGGGCTGGGGGACCAGTGCAGTCAGAAGTTAGTCATCTGGACGGACACACAGGCGGGCAGCAGGAGGAGCGGGCTCACTGCATGTAGGAGTAGCGCCAATCTCCCAGGGGCTGGTGCGTCTCCTTGATAACCTGGGGCGACGTCCAGCGCAGGATGTAGTGTGGGCCACCAGGCTTGTCATTGGTGCCTGGTGAAAAGACAGTTCTCTCAAATTCAATGGTTCTGGGCAGACAGGAAGGGGCAGGAAGGAGATGATGGGAGGACATCCAGGAGACGCAGGGCAGGGCAGAGATGAATGTGCCCTGAGCCTGCTGAGGTGAGAAAGTATCACAGCTTGAACTATGTGTTCACGGCAACCAGGGTACTGAGCACAGGTGTGCCAAGGGCATACAGCCTGTCGGCTGAGACAGGAACCGATGGCAGGCATGTCACCAACACTCCTGATGGGCTCCACACGCCCTTGGCTGGGAGGCAGGGGAGCACTGGTCAGGGAGTCAGGACACCTGTGTTACAGCCCCAGTCCCACCACTAAGCAGCTGTGAGCACTCGTTAAGTAACCCTGAACCTGTTTCCCCATTTGCAAAACAGAGTTGTCATCAGTGATCTTGAGCATAATGGTAAGAAGTGTGGGTGCTGGAACCAAACCCTCCCAGTCACCACGCCCCAGCAGTGTGACCCTGAACAAGTCATCTGCCCTCCGGGTGCCCTGCTTTACTTCCTTGTAAAATGGGTAGGAAAACAGTAACAGCCCGTCAGCTCACAAGGCTGTTGAGAGGACTGAAGGCGTTAACACGAGCAAAGGGCCGAGCAGGGGGTTAATGTCCCTGAAACGATGCTATTAGGAAAGTGAATACCCAGCAGAGGACTGACCCAAGGTCTCCTGCGAGGAACTAGACTCTTTTCTAGGAAGGGAGGCCCACTCACCAGAGGCTCGGGAACCCCCGAAGGGCTGCTGGCCCACCACCGAGCCGGTGGACTTGTCGTTGATGTAGAAGTTGCCGGCAGCATTCCTCAACACCTTTGTGGCCTCGTGGACAATGTTCCTACAGTGACAGGGCGGCAATTTGTGGGTAGTCAGGCAGCCAGTAGCCCCCTCTCCTCCCAGCTCCTGACACCTTGCCACAGCCCACACTAGGCTGACCCTGGGATGAGAGTTATTGGCCAAAGGCCAGTGGTCCCTGGGCCGACCATTTAGCATCTCAGGATGCAGGTTCCTCCTCTGAGAAAGAGGTAAGCACATCCACTCATAGGCTGCTTCCGGGTAGAATGGGACAACTTACAAAATACAAGATGGGTCTGGAAGAGGACAAGAGGGTCAGAACCGTTCCCAAGGAATGATTCACAAGGTCCAATTTTCCTGCCTCTCAAGAGCTGTGAAATATCCCAGACCCCCAACCTTTCCCCCCTCAGTTGACAATGGCCAGATTCAGCATCCTAGGGTTTAAATCTCGCCTCTACAAACCCAGCAATGACCTGGAACTTTGGTTTCCCCTGTGTACGTGAAGCCATCACCTTGCTCAGCAGACCCGTCAGAGACCAGGCACCTGGACTAAAGCACTGATTCCCATGTCTGCCCCAAAGATTCCGATTCAGGGGCAGCAGAAGGGCCCCAGAAGCTGGATTTTAACAAGAGCTGACTGCCTCTAGGCACCTGGTCAGGAGGTACCTACCTGCCTATCAGGATTGAAGTTGAGGAACAATGGACAGGTCAAGCAGGAAGGCAGCATTATTACTGAGAACAAGTCCATTGGAGCAAAGCTGGGACAGTCCCAGTGTGGGGTCCCAGGGGTGGGCTGGGACAGGAACAGCAGAATTAGAACAGATGGACAGCAGCAGACTGGGCCACTCACTTATCCTTGGCGAACACTGCCCCCGTGAGGCCATAGCTGGTGGTGCTGTCGACCAGCCGCAGTGTCTCCTTGTACTTGTCATCTGGGTAGACATACACGGTCAGCACAGGTCCGAAGATCTCCTGGGAGGGAAATCCCAGCATCAGGCCCCGCACCTGGACCAGGGCCCAAGCTCTTCCAGTTTTCCCACTCACTCCTCTGTTTCCCTAGTTTGCTGACCTCAGTCCATACCTCAGCCCCTGCAAGAAGGGCCAGCTGTTACTTCCTCCCGGTGTCCTTACAAGGACACGAATCTGCTCTCCCTGCCCCAACCTGGTGAAAGAGCCAAGGAAATTTCTGGACCCTCCCAGCGAACAAGCCCACAGGAAAGAGCCAAGGGTCCAGCCCCTCAGAAATGAGGCTTCCGGCAGCAGCTGGTGTGGGAGGCCCTCTCAGAGTGTCCATGAGGAAAGACTTCCTGCAGCAATTGTCTCCACCTGGGCCAAGTCCCTTAACTTCTCTGCCTTAGCTTCTCATCTACAGAATAGGACTGACACATCTCCTGCCAGTGCCCAGCCACGGTCAGTCCACAGAGGGCATCACCACGGCAGGCATCACGGTGGCTGTGGCCCAGCTGGGATCCAGCGTCAGGGACAAAGCCCTGGACCTGGAGGCCTGAGCTCTATACTTGCCCAGCTCTCACAGGTCTGAGACATTGCTTTTTTTGGAACCCCATTCCCATCATCTATCCACTGGGGACACCACCACCTGACAGCACCTGTCTGTGTCGTAATCACATGAGACTGTTCTCTGGCTCCAGCCCACCAAGTTCCATCCAGCCCCACCCTCGTCCACCCCCTCACCTCCTTCATGATGGCATCCTGCGGGTCCTTGCTCTCGACGATGCAGGGTTCCACAAAGTAACCCACCGAGTCATCACACTTGCCCCCTGCCAGGATGGTGAGGCTGGGCGAGGAGCGAGCGTGCTCCAGCCACTTCTTGATACGGCCAAAGGACTAGGTGGAGAGAGAGGGGGAAGGGTCAGGATGACCAGAAGGCCGTGTCAGCAGACCCAACAATCTCCCGAAACCATTGTCCATGAAGGGCCTGACTTCTGAAACAGGGTGGCCAGGGGTGACCAAGTGAAGACAAAGGCCAGGTCTGCCTGAGCTATGGCAGAGTTAAGGACATGTGAGTAGGATGCGTGCAGTAGACCTATGGGTATATCCTATTCAATTAGATTTTCAAAGAAGAATTATGTTCTCAAACAGCATTACCAGAATGTCTAACCTGGCTATTGACACATTTTAAATAATCACATGAGAACAAGCATTTACAATTTAAAAAGTATCTTGTTCTCGTTGATTCTGACTTGTGGCGACCCCATGGGTGCAGAGAAGACTTGCCCCAAGGGGTTTTCAAGGCTCAGACCTCATGGAAGCAGTCCGACAGCCCTGTCTTCTGAGAAGCCCTGGATTCAAACCACCAATCTTAGGTCTAGTAGTCAAGTGCTGAACTGTGTGCACCACTCAGGGGTTATGACATTATACATATTTTCTTTACAGTTTCATGTTTAAGTCTATTTTATTACATACATAATACATTTACCACCATAGAAATTATTTTTAGAAACATATTTATACATATGTATGACCATGGGTCTTTGTTGAAATGGGCAATGTGCGTGCCTATGTGCGTGGACCTACAAATGCACATGGCTGTGTATGTACAAGGATATGCATGTGTACTGCACATTTCTACGGTTACATGCACATATATGTTTCTATGTTTATGTACATATATGTGTCTATGCTTATGCATATAGGTAAACGTGTGTTTTTCTGCCTATGGATGTGATTGTGATTATGGGGAAGTCCTACATGTATACACATGAATGTGTAGCCAAATATGCAAATGTACTAGCTTCATGCATGCAGATGTGTGTACCTATTTGCACATGCAAATGCCAGCATGTGTGTATGTGTGTACTACATGTTTAAGAGGGGCATCTTGAGCTGAACCTTCCAGTGTGGGGGAGGTAAGTGCTTCTCTGATCATGGATGATTCTGCTCAAAGCTCTCTGTGTGTGTCTGCAGAGCTGCTCTGTTCACAACGGAGGAGCTGGGCTGTCCCTGGTCCAGGGCTCCCCATCTCTTGCTCCTTCTCCTGCTAGTCCAGGCCTCAGACCCCTAGGAATGCCCTGCTCCCTGCCCTGTACCTTGGCATCAATTACTGCAGAAAAGAAGGTTCCGAAATCCTCTGCAGGCTGGAGGCAAGGGAGACACCAGAAGAGAAGAGTGAGTCACCACTGCAGGCTGGAGACAAAGGCCCCTCCCTGCACCCCCAGCCCCGCCCGCACAGGCCACTCTCTCCAGGGGACCAGCTCTCATCGCTGAGCTGTCCAATCCCATCAGCCCCCTGCTGGGCCTCAGCAGGGACACTCACGTCGCCCACTTTGATCCTGCCGTGCTCCTCCAGCAGCCGCCCTTTGATCTGCGGCCACAGTGAGCTGGGCACGTAGAGGCGGGAGCAGGCAGAACACTTCTGGCCCCCATACTCGAAGGCTGAGCGCAGGGTCCCGCTCACCACGCTGTCCACGTCAGCTGAGCAGTGGACGAAGTGGAAGTTCTTCCCACCGCACTCTGTGGGGACAAGAGGTGGGAATAAGGGGGGAGCTCGCTCCACTGACCAGTATAGATCCCCCACATTGTCTACTCCTGTCCATGCAGCCTAGGGTCAGTACCAAGCACAGAGCAGACGTGGGCTGTGTCCCATGGGAGACTCTCGACCACCTCTCACCATTAGCCCCATCTTAAAGATGAGCAAACTGAGGCAGAGAAATTTTATCGCAGGCCCAAGGTTGCCTGGCTAGGAGTAAGCACGGGCTTTCTCAGAGCCTCAGGGAAGAGGAGGGAAGGAGACTCTGAGAAGTAAACAAGGACATCTCTGTGAAGGACCGTTTTCCACCTTGAAGTCAGCTCAGGGTGCATTAGAGGCTAAGGGTTGAAAAGGCTTTCCCCAACACCACCATGAAAGCTCACACCAACCAGTCCAAGAAGGGAGCCCAGTCACCCTCCAGGCTCCACCTCACCCGTGGGACAAAAGCTCTGAAGGAGCCCCAGCTCGAATGTCAGTGTGCTGTGTGACCAGGAGCAAGCCCTTCCCCCTTAGTCTTCAGTCTTGCTGTCCAGAAAGTAAGGGCTCTGCATTGGGCACTTCCCACAGTGCACCCCACAAACACCTGGCCCTTGGAGTCTCCAAAGAAATAGTTTTGTGGCTCCATTTTTTAAAAAATTCTGCACATCAGCTAATGTTCCTAATGTGCAGAGCCCACTGTTGTTAATGTTAAGTGCCACTGAGTCAAGTATGACTCATAGTAGTAACCCTATAAACAAAAAATCTGAACCCAGTCCTGTCTAGCACCATCCTCACAGTTCCTGACACACAAGAGCCCATTGCAGCAGTCACCTTGTCAATCCATCTGGTTGAGGGTCTTCCTTTCCTTCACCGGCCCTCCACCCTTCCAATCATCATATCCTTCTCCAAGGAACAGTACCTCCTAGGAACATGTCCATAATATGTGAGGTGAAACCTCATCATTCTTTTCTCCAAAGACCACACCGGCTGCACCATCTCCAAGACATATATGTTTGTTCTCTTGGCCGTCCATGGGAGGTTAAGTGCTCTTCTCCAACATCACAGCTCAAAGGTGTCAATTCTTTTCCTGACATCCTTATTCATTATCCAGGTCTCAGATGGCTAGCTAGTAATTGGAAAGACTATGGCCTGAATCAGACACACCTTAGTCCTCAAACTGACATCACTACTACTCAGTAATTTCAGAAGGTCCCTAACTGCAGATTTTCCCACTGCAATGTCTCCTTATTTCCTGACTGCTTGTACTGAGGGTGTTAATTGTGGATCCAAGCAAGATGAAGCTCTTGACAGTTTCAATCTCCTTTCCATCCACCATGACACTGCCAATTGGTCCCGTGGTAAGAATCTGTTTTCTTGATACTGAGATGCAATTCATACTGAAGGCTGCATTCTTTGATCTTCTGCAACAAGTGCTTCAAGTCCTCCTCACTTTAAGTAAAGTTGTGTATCTGCATAATGCACGTTATTGATGAGTCTCCCTCCAATCCTGATGCCGCATTCCTTTTCATAGAGTCCAGCCTCTTGGATAATTTGCTCAGCATATAGATTGAGCAGGTATGGAGATAGAATACAACCCTAGAGCATTAATAAAGGCTCTGAGAAGTCCTGCAGGAATCAATCTGGCTTTGTTTTATAACACAGCATGTGTCAAATGTCCTTGACCATAAAACTATCTTTGTGGGAACATTAGAAATATTTTAGCAAGGCTTGACGCCTGCCAACCTCTCAGCCCCAAGTCCTACCACCCTTGCTATCCGAGCTGTTCTGTGTGTTTCTAAAATGCTCTCAAATCCTGAAAGATATAAATCATCATGCTTTCAAAACATGTGTGTACAGTCGTTCACAATATGAATGCAGACACACATCCACATTTCTGAAGCTCTTTAACATTAATGAAAGTTACTAGAAATTCTTAAGTCATAATTGAGAAACTTCCCGGATGCATAAAGAACATAAACAAAGGTCACTCTGGCCCCATATGCTGTGTCAAAAGGAACATAAATATTAGTCGTCTCCCTAACCTCTAACCTTAAGGAGAAGATGCATCATTTGGCTATTCTCAGCCCTAGTGAAAAGACTAAACATTACTAACTACTCTTTGAGATCAGAATGGTCCTTGTTGTGTGGAGCTGAGGTGACAATGTATAAACCCTCAATCTCTGCTCACAGAGAGGGGGCAGAAATGGAAGCAAGGTGGTTCTCCTCTGAGTGTCCTCCACCACTGGTTCATGGGAACTTTGCTAGATTTACGTGGTGTTAACCCTTCTTCTCAAATCCTCTTAAAAGTCTAAAGACCTGAACTCTAACCACTGAACTAACACTGTCATTATTATCGTTAATTGTGATTCTAAAATGTTTTAAGATCACTCTTACATGCATTGCCGCTACTGCCTAAATAGGTTTATGCACGACAAAAATGAGCATCGATTAATTTCCCAAGGTAAAAATCCTAGTGGGGGCCTCTCCAAATGCAAACTCACTGCCCCTTACAGCCTGATTTGCTGGGGAGCTACGGTAGCCTAGTGGTAAGAAGCTGCACTGCAATCCCAAAAGCAGGTGCTTTGAATCCACCAGCAGTTCTGTGGGAGCAAGATGGGCAAACTCCTGTGCAAATTTACTGCCTGTGAAAATCTGCTAGAGGGTCAGCTGTGAGTTAGTCAGTTCAGCACACAACAACTACTGCCTGGGTCAAGGAGCTCTGGTGGTACAGCAGATTAAGCACTGAGCTGTGAACCAAAAGCTGCAACAAATTCACCAACAGCCCTGGAGGATCGAGGTGAGGCAGTGTGCTCTTCTTGAGACTGATGGCCTTGCAGCAGTATGGGGCAGATCTACCACATGCCTGCTGGAGGGCCTCCAGGAAACAGCACTAACTACACGGCCGGGAGCTGGTGGTTCTTCCTGCCTGGATCTGCACGAAGCAGTCAGTACTCCCTGAGCTGTCTGACACAGCAGCCACTGGCCACAGGGGCTACTTAAATTAATGCCAAGTAAATGAAGCAAAAACCATCACTTTCTAGGTCACTCTGGCCACACTTTAGTGCTTGACACCCACACGGGGCCGGCAGCTATTGTACTGGACAGTGCAGGTCAGAAACACCTTCCCCACCCCGGAACGTTCTAGATGACAGTGCTGGCATAGAGTCTGCCCCCAGACTGTCCATGGTTGGCTGTTCTCCACTGCTCGGCCTCCTTGAAGAGCCACCCAAACCACCCTCAGTTGCCATGCGCACATCCTGTTCTGGATGCCTGACTTCTTTTCCCATCTTTATCTCTTCATAGTCCTGTCACTACCAATGTTCATCATCTGCCTTGAAGCTGGATTTGAGTTAGGCGCGCGGTGACAGGGACTGTGTCTGGTTCAGTGCACCCTACACCGGTGTCCAAAACGGTGCCTGGGAGGAGACTTCCTAATTTGCTGACTAAATGAATGTACAAGCAATGAAAGAGCAAACACACGTCCTGAACCCTAAGGTTGTATGACCCCCTGGGAGCCATGACAGCAGAGGTTCTGTGCTAAGGATCCCAGTTCTCGGTTCCCAGAGTCTCTCCCTCTGTGGCTCCACCCATTCACCCCGTGCCCTCACTGCTCCCCACACCCTAGTGTCACAGCGAAGGGCCAGCAGGATTCTCACCTCCAGCCAGGCGTGGAAAGGTCCGGAATCGGTCCAGATTCTGGGCTACCTGCTTCCACAAGTGCTTGAAAGTGCTGAAACCAGAGGAAAGGATGGAGATCAGGGAGTTAAGCTCATAAAGCCAAGGTATCTAGGGGTGGGGAACAGGCTGATGGTGGGGGCTGGTTCGCCAGAAGAGGGGGTTAAAAACACAGCAACCTGCCAGGAGGTAGGCAGGCATCACTGAGGTAGGGACGGGGAAAGGTGCAGTAGGAAGTGACAGCTGTAACAGGCTGAATTGTAAGGGGTGGGACAGGGGACGGCTTCATGGCAAGATGGTGCAGGAGAGAAGGTCCAGGCTTTGGAGAGAGAATGCAGGGTTTGATCCTGACACAGATACTCACGGCTGTGTGAACTCGCTCTCATTACTTAACCTCTCTGATCGTCAAATTCCTCACCAGGGAACTGGAGGAAACCACTGCCACCTGGCAGGACTGGTATAAGTTACTACTGTATCCTCACATACAACATACTCACGTAAACAACATGCATGCACACATAACACACATGTTGCACAGGTATCAAAACATGGGAGTTTGAAAGGGGAAAAGTGCTTCCCATAGGCACAGCACACTGTGGGGCCCCAATAGGGTGGTCCAGGAGAGGCCACCCCAATCCAAGCACTGGGCTCAAGCCCCTGAACTGAGGAGGGACCTGGGAGAAAGAACTCAGCCCCCGCCTGGAGCTGTCACCCTGGAGGTCTGCACCTCCTCCCGGGGCTCCAAGTGTGACCAACCTCAGTACCACAAAACAATAAAAATGCTAATCACTGGGCTGCCAGCGACACAGTAGCTAATACTAATTTATGACTTTCCTACCTTTAAGCCCGCCGCTCATCAGAGCATGGCAAATGGGGGCCAGGCTGGTGCCGCTCGCTAATCGGCAGGGACCCCGTGGGGCCCACGGCTGGCAGAGCGGGCCTTTTGGAAAACAGCCCTCCTCAGCATTTCTAACACTTCCAGCACCACCGGCAAAGTGGGGTGTGGAAGAAGGTGGGCAGAGGAGGTGCCCCAGGGAGACCTGGAAGGATCCCACCTTTCAGACCTGGACATTCAGTTACCCAGGCACCTCAAATTCATACTGACTCCGCTTCATCCCTGCTTGCTTTTCCTGGCATCCACCTCAGGGAACGATGCTGGAGCCTGAGCTTTCCACTGACTGACCACCTTGACCTTGCCCCAGAGCCAGGCAGGCCCCATAACCTCTCCCTCTTATGTCCTCCTTTCACTCAACCGATTCACTCCATTCTTCCTCTCGGGCTCAGGCCAACTCCATCCTACCCCTAATAACTAGTCGCTGGATGCGGCTCTGGCCACTTGAGCATCTTCACACCACAGGGTGGTCATCAGATGCAGGATGCCAACCCAGGGGCCTGCAGGAGGCTGGACAGGCTCAGAAGTGCCCAGGCACCCAGAAACACAGTGACTGGTGGGTACGGTGAGAACTAAAGCCCACCTGCCTCTCTCCAGCCAATGATGCCACAGGGAAACAGAGCAGATTCTCAGGCCAAAATATCTGGATTTAAGAAACTATCCTAAGGAGCTCTGGTGGCCTAGTGGCAAGAAGCTGTACTGCAATTCCAGAGGTGTGAGGTTCAAATCCACCAGATGCTTTCCTGGAGAAGGAGGGACAATCTCCTCCTGTACCAGTCAGATCAGATTTGACGGTACACACACAAAATTATAAAATATTAAAGAAAAAAGAAACTGTCCTAATTTTATAAGGTTGCACATTAAAGGGTCCAAGAAAACACTGCTTCTTCGAAGGTCCAGTTTAAGTCCCATCAGATGCAATTTCTGTTTAAAACAAAGATCTGGTCAAGTCACTCCTCCTGCTGTAGCCTCAGTGGCTCCTGCCACCTTCAGCATAAAGCCCAGACTCTGCTGCAGACCTGTAAGAGCCTCTGCAAAGAGGCTTAAAAGGACAGCTGCTAAGTGTTCAGCTGGTCACCAAAAAGTGAGCGGTCTGAAACCATCGAGCCGCTCTAAGGCAGAACAGTACACTTCCATAAAGATTACAGACCAGACAACTCTCATTATCCTGTGACAACAGGGCAGCTCTTTCCTGTCACATGAGGTTGCTAAGAGTCGGCACTGAAACAATGGCACCTAACAAAGAACTTCTGCAGTCACTACATCAAGTCCCCCAGGAGCAAGGACTTTGCCTGTGAGGAGTGCCCAGCATAGAGCAGGAGCCCAGGAAACACCTGGCGAGTCAATCAGTGAATGATCCTTCCCTCTGCTGCTTCTCAAATCACATCCCACCCACACCTCCCACACTCAAACTCACTGCCATCGTGTGGAGTCCCTCTCACAGCAACCCTCCATCGGTGTCTAAGGCTGTGAATCTTAATGGGAAGACTGTCCGTCTTTCTCCTATGGAGTCGTGGGTGGATTTAAAACGCCTGACTCAAGGCCTTAGGTCAGCAGTGCAACACGCTACAGTTTACACGCCTAGACTACAGCTCCAGAATTCCACTCTCCAACCACAGCGGCCGCTTCCCAATCCCCAGGGTGCAATAAGCACTTCTGTTTCAAGACCCAAGATTATGCTATTCCCTTTCCTAGGATATTCATCCATTCCCCTTTATCTAGCCACCTTCTACCTCTAATGCTCAGTTTAGATGTCACCTCCTCCAAGAAGTCTTCCTGAGTCTACTCCTCCAATTTCTCCCAGGTTCCCTCCTGCCCCTTTCCAAGGTTGAGAAGGCATTAACTGCAATATTTCCAGGCCTCTGGAGGCTGCACTTCTAGTCTACAGAGCTTCTTTCTACTGCCCAGCAGGGATCAACAACCCACTGGAGGGGATGAAACGGAGGGTGAGAAGTGAAGTGGCTCGTGTCCGGTCAGAGAGAATGAAGCGACTAACCTGTCAGCGCACAGCTCTGGCCCCCTGACTAGCAGGTGACAAGGCGGTTGTCTGTAACACTCCCCGTCTCCCACCAGGACTTACGGCACACTGCCAGTGAAGTTGATGCCACAGAGGTGCTCTGAACTGGTGATCGTGTCCCCAAACACGGGCCCATCTGCTGGTACAAACTGGATGATGTTGGGGGGCAGACCTGCCTCCCGGAGGACACGGTACACAGTGTAGCTGGCCAGCATGGCGGTGTCACTGGGCTTCCACAGGACCACGTTGCCCTGTCCAGGAGGGATGACGACAGCACACAAGGTCAGAGGTCACCAGCCCAAACACCCACAGCACAGGCCCCACTCACTCCAAAGAGCCACCTTTCCTGCCTGCAGTTCCTGAGGTCACAGGTACCAGGCTGTACTAGGCCCCAGAGGTGGGGAGGATTTCCCCACTGGCCCCGCCTTCTCCAGGTGTTTAGCATGTGCTCCCCCTCTGGCCCAGGTGCACTTTCTCTAGAAGCCCCTACCAGCTGCCCCTGCAATACCCCTTAGACTGGTCTGTTCTGGTGTTTCTCAGTCACTGCAGACAGCCTGGAATGGCTGGGCGGGCACACTCGCAGGCATTTCTACACTTGCCTGCAGCATGGCCCAACAGACGCCTGGGCACCACGTCTGCCTGCACATGGTATACGAGGCTGTCCTCAGCACATACAGCTGCACACACCGAGCACCAGGGCCCTCCAGCCTGTCTCCTCCCCACTACCCCATGTGCCACCAAGGACCTCTGCAGTCAGGAGCTGTGTCTCCCCCATCAGATTGGGGGCTCATCAAGAACAATGGCCACCTTCACCCTCAAAGGAAGAGAGTTCACAGACTAAGTCCAAATTCCCATCATCTATTAGCTGTGCAACCTGAACAAAAGAGCGGCTGCTCTGTGACTCAGTTTCCCCACCCAGAAGCATGGCCACAGCACCCACCTCTCAGAGCTGTTGAGAGGATTAAATGAAAGCCAGTATTGGGAGCATGGTAAGCAGTCCATGTGAGCTACGCTGATGATTTAACTCCCACCCAAATCAAAACTTGCCACTACTGAGTTGATTCTGTCTCAGAGTGGCCCTATGGTGACAGGAAGAACTGCTTCACCGTGTCCCTGGCTGTGAACTTGACAAAGCAGACTGACAGGCTCTTCTAGAACTGCCAGTCTTTAACAGCAGTCCCCCCTACTCACCAACCCCACCAGGTCTGGTGTGACAGCAGGTCACACACACTCTTCTGATCCTCATGACCTTGTAACAAAAGCTTTCTTCTGATTTCCACTTTACACATGGGGAAGGTGTGTCTCAGAGAAATTTGGGGACTTGCCCAGGGTCATTCAGCCTGATTCAAGCCTGCCCTCATTCCCATGCTGCCCCCACCCGTGCTTCCCTCCAAGAATCAGGCCAACACCCACTGGGCTCACTGTGACACTGACAGTGGCCTCACCATTCTGCCACCATCCCCAAGCTCACCATCAGGGCTGGAGCACCTGCCAGGTTCCCGCCAATCGCAGTGAAGTTGAAGGGAGAGATGGCCGCCACGAAGCCCTGGAGATGGAGCAGGTGGTGGGGTCAGAGCTCCAAGCATCCAGCAGTCCCTCCCCTGTCCCTGCCTCTGCTGGTACCTCCAGGCCCCTGTACACCACGCTGTTGGTGCTGGGTGGCACGCTGATGGGCTGCGCGCCCTCCAGCTCCACGGCGAACTTGGCATTGAAGCGGAAGAAATCAATGAGCTCAGCAGCGGCATCGATCTCCGCCTGGATCACGGTCTTGCCCTGAGGAGAAAGGAGCAAGGTGGTCAGAAGGTGCAGTGACGAGAGCTACTGTTAGGAGTGCATGGCTCCTGCCGGTCGTCTTCGGATGTTTGACCCTCAATCCACAGAGGGCTCCGTGCCTGGCCACAGGAGCGAGCCAACGTTTAGTGACCAGGGCCTGTCCTAGGAGACTCCCCCTCTCAAGAGCTGCATCACTTCACTTAATGTACAGAACACACAGGGCCTGGACAGGTATAAGCAGCGTTACTGATCACCTGCCACAGACTACCTCCACCTGTCAGTATGTTGTACTGTGGTGGCCTGAGTGTCACAGTAGTGCTGAAAGCTGTCCCAGTGGTCCTTCGAATACCAGCAAGGTCAGCCATGGTGGACAGGCTTCATAGAAGCTTCCAGAAAAAGACAGACTTGGAAGAAAGGCTTGGCAATCTACTTCCAAGAGTTAGCTAATGAAAACCTTACCAATCACATCAAAGCACCATCCCATTCATTTGCTTTGGCTGTATCCTCAGGAGGCACCAATCACTGAAGATGGGCATCTTGCTGGGTGATGCAGAAGGCCAGCAAGGGGAGGGGGAGAAGATCAGGGAGACAGATCATCACCAGAGCCACAATAATGGACCTGAACATGCTGGGGACCGTGAGGGTGGTGCAGGGCCAGGCAGGTCACGCTCTCGGTCCCCACGCATTAGAATCAATGACAGGTAATCATGACCATGAACCAGCTTAACCAGGAGCCAGTTAACAACAGTTAATCATCACCACCATCAACCAGTTCCTCTACTAGATCAAGAACCTTAGAAGAACTCTGGGTCAGAACATCTCAGATGAAAGGGAACATTACACGTGTGGGGACCGCCAGGCTGGGCCAGGCTTTCAGAGCAATGGCAAAGCAGGGCAGGCAGACACTGTTCAGGCTGCTGGCTGCCCCCAGGGAAGGCAAGAAACACAAGGCCCCAAGACTGACATACAGTTGGATCTGACTCCCTTTCTGGCCTGGGAATGAGTGTGAGTGTATTTCTTCCTCTGGGTGTGGCTCACCCAGAACATCCCCGATCTGGACACCCACCCTCGAGGGCCGCTTGTTGAGAGCATCAGAAGAGACAGGAGAGCCCAGGGCCAAGCTGCACTGAGAGGTGTGGAGCTGTCATACTAGTTCCATGCAGCAGAGGGCACTCTCCCAAAAGGGATGACCAAGCAGGAAGCCTCCCATTGGGCTCACAGGTTTGTAGGTTTCATTAACTAGCATTCCCAAATCCCTTCTTGTTGGCCCCTCAAACTCAGTTCCTGGAGACGGTAGCAGCAGCTGCTCCCCTGGCCTGACACCTGGCACTCTGTCCCTAGTGTCATGCCTCACTCAACATGCATCAATTCTAAACATCATTGAGAGCCTTCAATGACACCACAGAACAACGTGCAAGGCCCAAAAAAACACCAAGATCGCCAAGCCATGGCTGTTGTTAGCTGCCACCAAGTCAGCAAACTCATGGCACGTCATGGGTAAGGAAATGAAACCCTTCCCAGGCCTTCACTGATCAGCTATAGCTCAGACTATCGTGATTCATACACAAGGTTTCTACTGGCTGAATTTTTTACTGTACTTTGCCAGGTCTTTCTTCCTCATCTTAATCTGGAAATTCCACTGATGCTTGTCCAGCATCGTAACAACATCCAAGGCCCTGACGTTGGGTGGTGGTTACTCATGTGGTAAAACAGCCAGGAATCCAACTCCTCCCCCTGTGTTGGTGAGAATTCAAACTGCCAAATCCCTCATTAGGATTTCATAGGACATCCCATGAATTCCCCACTACCCCCAATTGCAATCAAGGTGATTCCAATGCATGATCAATCCATGTGTTTCAGAGTAGAACTATGCTCCACTCATTGTTCATGGTTGTTGTTAGGTGCTGTCAAATTCAACCCATAGCGACCCTATGAACAATAGATCTGAACCCTGTGTCATTTCACAATCTCTGACATACTCGAGCTTCAATCACTATGTCAATCCATCCAGTTGAGGGTCTTCCTCACTTTAGTCAATCCTCCAACTTTCTAAGCACAATGTCCCATTTGTGAGATAAAGTTTCACCGTCTCTGCCTCCAAGGAGGACTCTGTACTTTCTCCAAGAAATATCCGTTCTTTTGGTAGTCCATGAGATGTTCAATACTCTTCTCCAACACCACAGTTCAAAGTAATGTCCTCTTCTCCTATCCTTATTCATTATCCAGCTCTCAGATGCACACCAAGTAACTGAAAAGACCATGGTCTGGATGAGACATTCTCCCAATGCAATATGTCTCCTGCCTGCTAGTACCAAAAATGTGGCTCCAAGTAAGATGAAATAATTGAGAATTTCAATCTTTGTTCCATCATAATGTTTTCTATAAATCCAGGGGTAAGAATTTTTATTTTTCTGATGTTGAAAGGTAATCCATATTGAAGAGTGAATTCTTCGAAATTCTTCAGGCAGCACTAAAAGTCCTCACTTTCAGCAAGCAAGGCTGTGTCATCTCAGAACGCAGGTTGTTGCTGACACTTCTTCCCATGCTGATGCTACATTCTTCTCAAATGATTTGCACAGCATACAGGTTGAATAGGTATGGAAAAGTATACAGCCTTGATAAATCTTAATTTTAAACCAGGGTTCTCTTGCTATTTGGACAACTTCTTGTTCTAGGCATAGGTTTCATACGATCATAATTAAGTGTTCTGGGGTTCCATTCCCATTCTTCTCAATGTTAGCCATAATTTGTTTTGCCAATAACATATTTTGGTAGCATTAGGTAAATCTGCTGTCACGAACCTCTTTAAAGTGCTTAAGAGCAAAGAGGCCACTTTATAAAGACTTCGGTGTGCCTGACCCAAGACATGGTATTTTTCAACTACTTCACAGGCACGTGAAAGTTGAACAATAAGTAAAGACACAATGGAATAATTTGCAACATTCAAGAATACCAAAGAATTAGGGGAGCTCTGGTGGCCTAGTGGCAAGAAGCTGCAACTGCAATCCCAGAGGTGCACGGTTCGAATCCACCAGATGCTCTGCCGGGGAAGGAGGGACAATCTCCTCCTGTACCAGTCAGATCTGATTTGACGGTACACGCACACAAAAATAATAAAATTTAAAAAAATTAAAAATAAGAATACCAAAGAATTCTTGAAACACTGTGTAATATAGATTAATCTAGAAGACATCATGCTAAGTGAAATAAGTCAATCACAAAGGGGAAAATATAAGACCATTATAAAAAGTTGTTGGGTACTGTGGAGTTGAGACGAATCCAAAGCTGACCCTCTAGCAGATTTTCGGAGGCAGGTAATCACACAAGGAGAATGGCCATCCTTCTCCCGCTGAGCAGCTAGTGCAGTTGAACCTTGTACCTTTGGGAATAGAGCTCAGCTTCTTAGCACTAGGCCATCAGAGTTCCCTAATTTGCTGAAAGTGAAGAGGATTTGAAAAGCTTGCTGCAGAAGGTTATATATTGCAGCATTCAATATAGATTGTATTTCAACATCAAGAAGAAAATCATCTCTGGGCCAACCGACAACATCTCGACTGAGACTGTCAACAACTTCATCTTACTTGGATCCACAATCAATAGACTTGAAACCAGCAGTCAGTAGCAAAGGAATGTACTGCAATGGAAAAGGGTATAGTCAGAGAGCTCTCCAAAAGTACGGAAGAGCAAATAATGTCAGTTTGTGGACTAAGGTATGCCTGACAGGTCACAGTCTTACAATCACTTGTTATGCATCTAACATCTAACATCTATGCACAACGAACAGATGACAGAAGACGAACTGATGCCACTGAGCTGTGGCGTTGGAGAAGAGCACTAAACATTCCATGGACTGCCAAAAGAACAAACAGATCCTGGAGAAGATGCAGCCAGAGTACTTCTTGGAGGCAAAGAAGAAGCAGCTTTATCTCACATCCTTTGGGTATGTTGCTAGGAGAGGCTACTCCCTAGAGAGGGACATCTGCTTGGAAAGGTGGAGAGATGGCGAAGGAGAGAAAAACCGTCAACAAGGTGGACGGCACAGTGACTGCAGCAATGCATCAGAGATTGCGAGGACGGCATAGGGGTCAGATCTGCTGTTCATAGGGTTGCTGTGAGTCATATTCGACTCGACAGCACCTAACAACACATCATAAAAAGTTGAAGAAAAGTTTATCCACTTATTCATTCGTGGATAGGAAAAAAGGGAGAGGTGAGTGAAAACGGACTAACAGGCATTTATTAAAATTAAGTGAAAGGAAGGGCAATATACAACAAGGCAAAGACTAGACATTGTGGTTATTGGAATGAATGGTATCAAACAAAATGTATAGGGAAAAGCGGAATGAAAAAGAATATGCTTGTAAACTCACTGAAATTGCAATTTAAGAAAAATTACAAAAATTGTTTAAAAAACAACAAGATGCATTTATGTCTTTGATTTGTGGTTTTGGAGAATAATATTAAACACACCACAGATTATTAAAAGGAAAAAAAACCCACCCCTATCTTGAGAGAAGTGCACTTGGGGTGCTACTTACAGACAAGAGTGATAGGACTTCAACTCATATTTTGGCCATGTTATCAGGAAGGGACAATCCTTACAGAAGAACATGATGTTTGGGGCAACAGAAGGTCAACTAAGGACAGGAAGACCCTCCGTAAGATGGATTTAAGCACAGCGGTGATTTTGAGGATGGCGTGAGATCGGGCAGGGCTGCCGTCTCTTGCACAACTTATTTGCTATAGGTTGGAATGAACCTGCTGGCACTCAACACACTCTTTCAGAAGACCACTCAGTCCTCCTTCTGAGACACTTGTGGGCGAGTCTGACCCACTAACCGTCTGGTAGCTGAACCTTAACTGTTCCACTCAGAAAAATCTAACCCCTGATTGCAGTTGGAACCCATGATTACTGTCCCTGAAAAGCTCATAAAACAGCAGTCAATACTTCATTGTCTGGGTGGCCCTGAGTTGATTTCCATCCACAGTGACCCTACAGGACAAAGCAGAACTGTCCTATGGATTAATTAGGCTGCCATCATTACAGATGCAGACAGATAGGTCTTTTCCCCAGCTGAAAGCTTAACCATTGGGCTGTAAAGACAAAGGAAGTGTGCTATGGGAGAACTGGAGGAGTAATCTTTGGGTCCAAGAAGGTTCAGGAAGCATCATAAAGGTTGTATCCGACCTGGACCTTGTATGGTAGTGAGCATTCCAGGCAAGGGTACACAGTGGGCAAAGGCGGAGTGGCACAGGACATTAGCAGTGTCCAAGGTCCTCCTAAGTTCAAACTGTCTACACAACAGGTAGGAATGACCTAAAAAGAAAGAACTGGACAGAGGCCAGAAATGAAGGACCATCCTAGGACCTGACTGTGCACAACAGAGCAGCTTGATGGAAGTGTGAGAAAGACCACGGGAAAGGCTGCTGGCTCTGCTCAGGACAGTTCACACAGACCAGGCGAAGCACAGCCAAGGCCTGGACAGGGACAGAGAGCAAGAAGAGGGAAAGTTTCCATGGCAGGTCATGCAGGCCCAGACACCTTGTCTCGTCTCACAGCTTATGTTCACCTGTCCCCTCTCCTAGGCCTTGTCCTTTGAAGACGTCTCTGGGTCTCCCCTGCTCAGAGCAGGGCCTGGCGCCCTGACGCTGTTCAGCTGATGTCTGCTGGGACATACAGGGCACACCTGCCTCCTTGATCCTGGCTTTTCCCATCATGCAGCTCACCTGTCCCACCATGGTCTTGGCGAGGATCTCGGCCCTGTGGGGCCCACTCAACAAATCTGCCGCCTTGAGGAAGATCTGGGCTCGGTCGGCGACAGGTTTCAGGTCCCACTCTTTCCTGGCAGCCAGGGAAGCTTCAATGGCTTTGTTAAGTAGGGCCTAAATGAAAATAAAAAAAGTTGGGGGACTTCCCTCCAACAGTCAAAGAGAGTCCCAGGGGAGACAGCAAGCCAGACATTTGCTCTTGAAGAGAGGCCCAGCTCCGTCAACCTCCCCCACCACATCCCCACATAGCTGACCAGGGCTATCCCAGGCTCGGAGACTGTCCTATGGCCAGCCTAGCGAAGTCGGAATGCTGAGGAATGGCCTCAAGCCCTCAGCTGTTAAACCTGCTCCGATTTTCTGGTGAAGTCTGATCAGGCCTTCACCTTATTCCTGGGACCCCGAAAAGTCATCCAGGTACTCCAGCCCCGAAGTGGGGCCTTACCTGGCTCTGGTCAGGGCAAAGCCCCAGCCTGAGATGTGCACTAGCTGCTGGCATCACAGGTGCCCCACAAACCAGCTCCTGGCTCCTTTACATCAGGTTACCTCGTCCCCTCTCAGCAGCCTCCCAATGTCACTTCCCTGCCTGACTTTTATTATGTCCTTAATTTCCCTGCTGCACGGTCCCAGAATCCACAGCTATCACCAAACCATGGACTGTCCCTCTATAAAGGTGCCCTGGCCTGGCCAAGACAGCTCTCATCTGGCTCAAGTTAGCCCTTGCAGGCTGGGGGCCCTGCCATGGTCAGCCATGCAAGAGGCCCCCTGTGCCAGTCCCCTGGCTGTCACCTGAGAGGGAAGGAACCTGAGGTCCGTCTCCACATCAGCAGTGGGAGGGACAGGAGCAAAAACCCCAACCTCCCCAGAGACTCACCTTGTCTGCGTAACAGAACTTGGCCACCTTGTGTCCATGGTTGAAGGGCTGGAGGAAGAGAGACGAGGGAGGTCACTGCCCAGAGGGAGGTCCCAGGACAAATCAGGTGGGCTGCACACAGCTTATTTTCCTTCCTTTTTACATATATTTTTTGGTGTATGAAAATTTTTTTTAATCAAGACTTATTTCCATTTAACAGTTAGGATCTTTCCTGCTTAATAACATTCATTACATTCCTTGCATGGCGCCAACCTTCTCAGTATTTCTGCTCTAGTCACATCACCCCATTAATGTAGACTCACTGGCCCTCAACGTCTCATCTATGGCTTGATGGTTACTGTCGTCCCTATGACTACATATATTTTATATACATAAGTATTTATAAATAAACACTCTCACACACTGGTGGCCTGGTGGGTAAGGAAGGAGCTGTGCTGCCAACCCAAAAGCAAGTGGTTTGGATCCACTAGCTGCTCCACAGGAGAAAACAGGTTTTTTTTCATGCTATTTACAGTCTCTTAAAACTCACTTAAAGGGTCAACTATGAGTCAGTTCCAACTAGATGGCAATGAGTTTATATACATATATACTAAAATATGTAAGTGTTTTCAATACCCAAATGTAACATAGAAGGAGAATTGATCTCTTTGAGCTGTGGTGCAGGAGAAGAATGTTGAGGGTACCATGGATTGCTAAGAAACAAACAGATTCATCCTAGAGAGATTTAAGCCGGGCTGCTCCTTGGAGGCAAGAATTCTGAGCTTCATCTGACACACTTTGGACATGTTATAGGTAGGGACCAGTCCTTGGAGAAGGACGTTATGCTTGGTAGGATGGAGGGACAGCGCAGGACGGGAAGACCCTCTATGAGGCAGATTGATTCAGTGACTGGAGTAATCAGGGTGGGTGTGTCAGAGATGGTGCGATTGGCACAGGACAGAGCAGGTTTTAGGGCTGCTGTACATAGGGTCGCTATGAGTTGCAGGCGACTCAACCGCACATAACAATCTCTCTTTTTTGAACTAACATCTTTCTTTTTGTTTAAATATGGCTTCAGGAGACAGTTTCAAGATGTGACATGTATCCCAGGGCAATAGCCTGGGGAGGTTTTCCAGCCTCAATGGGTCCAGCTAGCCTGGATTCATGGCGACTTTGAAGTTCTGTTCTCTATATTTCCATCAGGGCCCAATTAGGAGCTTTGGTGGGACAATGATTAAACCCCTTTCTACTAACCAAAGGGCCAGCTGTTCAAAGCCATCAACCAGAGGAAGAAAGATAACAGCCTGATTCTGCAAAGATTACAGACTTTCTAAACCCAGGGAGACGCTCTACTCTATCCTATGAAGATCCATCAATTGGAATTATGCTCTGTTTACTATGAGAGACATACAGCTGAGTGATCGAAGGCATGAGCAAGACGTCAATGGCCATGGGTCCCTGTGGATAGTCACAACCAAGCTGCTTGGACTGAGTGAAGATGGGCTTTGTGACAGGTTGTCATGGGCATGGTGGCCAGGGCACTCTTTGGCACCTCTTCCTATCTCAGGATCAGAATGCAGGTCAGGAGCTAAGGGGAGGCACTGGGAAAATCATGATGCGGAGAGGTGGCACTTTTAATATAGTTACAGCCACAGGGAGGGGCATCTGATAAGCAGTGTGATGGTTCCCTTTTACAGCTATTCCCTATACTCCATCTCAGCCCGTGTACTACAATAAAACAAAGTCAGTGAGTAAAAAAAAGAAAAGAAAAATTTTAAATCTTTTGTGTTTGACTGAAACAGCTGGTTAATGTTAACCAGGCACCACCAGTTCTGCTGGTCTCATGCTAGATAGAGGAAGCATGGTTTGAGGAAGCGGTTGGTCCTGTGGTTCAGTTGCTTTTCTAATGCTTCGTCATCCTTTTTCCTATGATGCTTCAGATGCAGAGAGACCAATTGTAGGTTGTAGTCCATTTTCTCACTAAGATTTCCTTTACTTCTCTCTGGTTTAAGGCCCTCCTCCTAGGAAGCCTCCTGCCACCCGAGCCCACTGCTCCTCCTCCTCCAGAGAAGGACTCGACTCATGTCTCTCCTAGCTACGCTCCCTGAGCAGGCAGTAGGTCGACACGTGACTCCCACACCCAGCACACCTCAGTACAGAAGGCACAAGACCTTTGCCACCAAATAAGGAGCGCCTTCCAATAAGAAGCCATGGTGGTACAATGGTTAAGTGCACAGCTGCTAATCAAAAGGTTCGTGGTTCAAACTCACTCAGTGGCTCTGGGAGAAAAAGACCTGCTAATCTGCTCTAGTGAAAATGACAGCTCAGAAAAATCCCACAGGGCAGTTCTACTCTGTAACGTTAGGAAGCTGGGTAAAACGTCAGCTTCACGGCACCCATCAACAGCACCAACAGTCTCCCAACTATATTGCTGAAACCTGTGCTGTCCAACCTGGTAGCTACGAATCACCTGCTAGCTACAAATCAACTGTGAAATTCAGTTCCTCAGTCAGCAAGAGCCGTGTCAAGTGCTCACCAGCCACGAGCGTCTGCTGGTGACTATACTGACGTGCAAATACAGGATATTCCGACCATCATTGTTGCAACAAGTTCTACTGGGCAGCACTGGTCTAGATCTCAGCCAAAAGGGGCCCATTCCCCTTCATTTTAACCCTTGCCACAGTCATCTAGATCTTGTCTACACCTGAGCCTGGCCCATGACTGAACATTTCCCAGTGGATCACAAGGAAGCCTCAACTGGCAACACCAAACCCAAAATAACTAAACCCACTGTTGTTAAGTCAATTCTGACTCATGGCAACCCCGTGTGTGCACAGTAGAACGAGCCCATGGGGTTTTCTTCCCTCTAACCTTTAGAGAAGCTGCTTGCCAGGCCTTCTTCTCTGGTGTCACTGGCTGAGTTTGAACAGTCAACCTTTTTAGGTTAGTACATGAGCACAAGCCATCTGTGCCACCAGTTAACACAGGCTGACCCTCCTCCCCCTCCCCCAGCAGGCCTGAATCTATGATCAGGTCTGCGTGGCAACAGGGAAATGAATGCCAGTATTACCCTACCCCTTTCCACTCCCATCAGGGGATTAGCAAAACCCCAGGTACTGGCGATGGCCACAAGAAGCCTGGAGATCTACAGGGCAGGAAGGTTCTAGGCAGAGCTGTGATTCTGGTGAGCAAGGCCATGAGAAGCCAGCTCTCAGGCAGCACCTGGACACGTACCTGTGCCAACCTAAAGGCTCAAAAATCCTGGCTGAAACCAGATCCCAGGCTCTGGAGGCTCCAGGTGTTGGATCTTACAGGACACCTCACCTGACAAGAACTGGTGAAGTCACCAGGAACCTTTCTACCTCACTGCCCCAACTCCAGCCTCATTCACCTCCTTTCTGTTTTGAAGGACAAAGCCTCTCTCTACCTCTGAGACTCTGAACTTACTCATCCCCCGGCAGCCAGGAAATCAGGAGGCAAATTGCATTGGAAAAATATGCTGTCAGAGACCTCTGCAAAGTTCTGAAGAGCAATGAGGTCAGTCTGAAAACTAAGGTGCGCCTGATACAGGCTATGGTCTTTGCAATTACTTGCTATGCATCAGAGAGCTGGACAATGACTAGGGATGATAGGAGAACTGATGCCTTTGAGCTGTGATGCTGGAGACGAGTACTAAATATTCTATGGACTGCTAGGAGGACAAACAGGTTCAGGGGAAACCAGGCGGTTCCTTGGAGGTAAAGATTCTGAAGCTCCATCTGACATACTTTGGGCATACTGCCAGGAGGGACAGTCCTTGGAGAGGGATCCTATGTCTGGGAGGGCGGAGGGACAGTGCAGGAGAGGAAGACCCTCGATGAAATGGATTGACTCAGTGACTGGGGTGAAGGGGTAGGTGTGTCAGAGACAATGAGCCTGGTACAGGATAGAGCAGGTTTCAAAGCTACTGTACACAGGGTCGCTATGAGTCACAAGCAACTCGACGGCACTTAACATGAGTTACAATTAAGTCAATGGCAGTGGGTTCCTATAGTTCCACCCTGAGCAAATTTGAGCTCTGAACCTGTTCCCTGATCTGCCAACTGGGCAGCCAACTCCCTACTCGTCCTACCTCAGAGAGGCATGGCAGAAGAAAGGGGGCACCACATGCATAAGGGAAGGGACCTTAAGGAGAGGCTTCCTGGGAGTCCTGGAGGGTTTCTAGGAGAAATCTGGTCTTTGGACCTGTCTGAGCTCATCATCAGACCAAACACCAAAAGCGAAGAAGACAATTCCCACTCATTGCACCTCCCGTATTTCAGAGCAGAACTGTGTCCCTCTGCAAGGTTTCAAGAGGCTGGGATCTTTGACCAGTAGATGAGCAGATTTCTTCTGAAGTGCTTCTGGGCAGACTGAAATTAGTAATCTTTCAATTAGTAGCCAAGAGCTTAATCTGAAAACAGACCAGGGCTCCAGTGACTTTCTAGTGAAGGTCTTACAACTCATATAAAATGACTAGGACTGTGCAAACAAGGGGCAGAATGGAGAGTCTGCTAATGAAAATAACGAGTGTGGTTGTTGCTAGGTGCTGCGGAGCTCAGTATGACTCACAGCAACCTCATGAACGTGTCTGAACCCTGTTCTATCCTGTGGCATCTTCATTTTCTCAGACTTGAGCCCCTTGCTGCAGTCACTGTGCCAATCCCATCTCATTTGGAGACTTTCTCTCTTTTGCTAACCTTTCACTTTTTTAAGCAAGCATGATGTCCCTTTCCAAGGAACAGCCTCTCTTAATAATACGTCCAAAGTATGAGAGATGAAGATTTGCCATCTTTGCCTCCAAGGAGCACTCTGATTGCACTATTTCCAAGACATAAATGTTTGTTCTTTTGGCAGTCCATGGGTTATGCAGTACTCTTCTCCAACACCACAACACAAAGGCATCAATTCTTCGTCTGCCATCCTTAATCACTGTCTAGATCTCAGATGTGTAGCAAGTGACTGAAAAGAAAACGACCTGAAATCAGACACACCTTAGTCTTCAAACTGACAGCACTGTTCTTCAGCACTTAGGAGAGGTCCCTGACAGTGGACTTGCTCAGTACAATACATCTCCTGTTATCAAAGGTGCTGATTATTGATCCATGCAAGATGGTATTACTGAAAACTTCAGTCCTATCTCCAGCTATCAAGATGTAGTCTATTGGCCCAGTGATGAAGATTTTTGTTTCCTTGTTGTTGAGAAGCAATCTATACCAAAGGCTAGAGTCCTTGATTTTCTGCATAAAGTGCTGTGCTTCAAGTCCTCCTCCCTTTCAACAAGCAAGGCTGTATAACACAGTGTGGTTTTAGCCTAGAAGTTGGCTTTTTTTTTTAACCATTTTAGTTTAGCTGCCTCTGATCTCCGGCTCCCTTAACTGCAAACACAGAGTCTTGCAAATTATCAACAGCTGAGAGACTAGGATAAGAGAAAGAGGGCTTCCCATAGCAAGAAGTGAGACATGGAGAGAGGAAGACTTGTTGGCAGCAAGACTTGAAAGAGACTAAAGACATTCTTTTTGTATTCTTTGCTTTAAACCAGGATCCATCTGCCGGCAGAAATTATATCCCTGGTGTCACTGCCTCTTCTAAACCCAGCTTGAAATTCTGGCAATTCTCAGTCAATGTTCTTTTTGGATGATCTTCAGCAGTATTTCGATTTTACGTGATATTAACAATATTGTTCAATAATTTCCACATTCTGTCAGATCATCTTTCTTAGGAATGGGAACAAATATAGACTTCCTCCTATCAGTTGGCCAGTTGTCCTTCAAATTTCCAAGGCACAAGCTGGTGAACACATCTAGCAATGCATCTATTAGTTGAAACAAATCGATTAGACTCTCACTGATTCCTAGGGCCTTATTTTTTTTAGCAATTCTTTTAATGTAATTTGACTGTTTTCCTTTATTACCATTGACTCTTGTTCGTATGTTATTTTCTGAAATTTTTCAGTGTTAACCATTTTTTTTTTATGTACAGTGACACTGTATGTATTCTTTCAATTTTCTTTTTATGCTTCCTGGATCATTCAAGATCTTGCCCATGGCATCTTTTAGTATTACAAATTGAAGCTTGAATTTTTTCGTTCTTTCAGTTTGAGAAATGCTGAGTTTTTCCCTTTTTATTCTGACTCCATTTGGTCATAGTATTTTGCTTTGTCTTCTCAAGTTGCCCTCTGAAATAGTCTGTTCAGCTTTTTTTACTTCAGCATCCCTTCCTTTTGTTTTGTCTTCTCAGCACTTTAATATAATTTTCATAGTCTCTTCTGACAACTATGTTAGTGGTTTGTTTTTTTTTTAAATCCTGGTAGGCTTGGCACCAGCAGTCAAGAAATCAGAAGGTAAATTGCATTGGGAAATTCTGCTGAAGAGCAATGATATCAATATGGAGACTAAGGTGTGCTTGATCAGGTCATGGTCTTCACAATTACTTGCTATACATCAGAGAGCTGGACAAAAACTCAGTATGACAGAAGGATCATCAATGACTGAGTTGTGGTGCTGGAGAAGAGTCTTGAAAATACCATGGACTGCCAAGAGAACAAACAGGTCTGTCCTGGGGAAGGTGAAACCAGTTTTCTCCCTGGAGGCAAGGATTTTGAGGCTCCATCTCACATACTTTGGGCAGGTGGTCAGGAAGGACCAATCTTTGGAGAGGCATATCATGCTTGGAAGGGTGCAGGGACAGCGCAGGAGAGAAAGATCAAGATGAAATGGACTGACTTGGTGACTGAAGCAATGGGATAAGGTGTCAAGAGACGCTGAGACTGGCATAGGATAGGGCAACTCAGAGCTAATGTACATAGGGTCGCTATGAATCCCAAGTTGACTCGAGGGCACATAACAGGCTTAAAGAGGCAATGGAAGAGAGGATTTGTCACTAACATCAAAGAGCCCGAAGCATGTGCATCCTGTGAATCTAGGATCCTTGTGCTGAGAACCCCTGAGACTCAAGAGCAAGCTTTAACACTGGAGACAACGCAAAGCATGAGATGGCAAGCAGGGGCAGCAAGCACAGCACAGTCCCAAGGCAACAGAATCAGGAGACTTGTGTGAGCTGGCATGGTGGGCTCCCTGGTCCACAAAGGGAGCTAGCTACAGTGGGCTTACTAACTCACAGGATGAGAAAGCTGAGCACATTCAGGCAGGAGGATTCGTGGCAGAGCGGGGTATTTCCAAGGGCACTTACAGGCAGAACCATAGTTTTAATACTTGTTCAAACAGGTAGAGGCCAGGCCTAAACAAGGCCCAGAGGATGAGGGATACCTGCCAGTATGGCCAAGAAGTTGCTGTTCTGATCAAAGAACTGTCTCCTGAATTGTTCCTGTTACTTCCAAGGTGCTCCAGATCCTGAATTGTATCCTGCTGATTCCCTAAGAAACCTGATAATGGTGAATATGGTCTATGACTTCTATGTAGCCACTGCGACAAATCACTGAGCCCACAGAATAAGCTGAGAGTGCCATGGGAGAGAGGGCTGGAGTCAGAGCTGGTGAAGCGCTGGAGAGTGGAGGTGTGTCTGACCACTGCCTCAGAGAGGACTCAGTTTCGGTCTGACACTAATTCTCTTTCCCCACCAGTTTGACATTATACAAGGTCCGACAATGCACCATTTGTACTATGACATCTTTTAGTGACATTCTAGCCTTCCTTTCTATGCTCAATGTCTCAGTTTTACTAAAAAGATGGCAAAACTGGTAGCTATGGTTTTTAACTACTTCTTGGCAAAATGTGAAGCTGGCAACTTTACAAGAGTGCTCCAAGGCTGCTTTTTGAAGTTTTACTCACTCGTTCTCCTTGACACTGAGTTGGAACCAACTCACTGCTGACATCGCCCCCCTCCCCGCCCCAGTGAGCTTTCAAGAGGCTATAAATCACATGGGAAGAGACTGCCCAACTTTCTCCTGTGGAGCTAGTGGTGAATTTGTACTGCCAGAAAGGGGTTGCCTACAGACTAGCAGTGCAACTTCCTATGGACTACATCACCAGAGTTTGCTAAAGTTTTCCAGTTCCTAAGAATGGATTATGAACCACTTAAAGGCAGGGAGCACATGATCTATGCGCATGTGTGGTAGGGAGACCCAAGTTCCAGAGAACAACGGCCCAGCCTGCCCCACTCCGGACTCACCGACACCTGGTACCGCACATCTGAGGTCCACACCTCCTCGTCCCCCACCACACACGGGATGGCTTCTGTCTGGCCCTTGAGTTTCTTCAAGGCCTGGGGAGAGGAGAGAGTGTGTGAAGGAGTCCCCTCTTGGCCACCCCCTCCAAAGACCCTGGTGCAGAGTCTGAAGTGCAGGCACCAGGCAGGACCACTGATGAGAAGGGAGCCGAGCAGGGTCAACAAAGGTCTGTCTTCCATTCAGGGGGCCAGGTTCCTTCGACTCAGAGCATTATCTCTACCCAGGAAGCATCACGAGGTCTTCATATTACAAAAACTGCATTAGGATGCTATGTGTAATCTTTTATGGCAGAGCGTGCTGACGACTGCAGCACATGATTGATGGAATTGATCTCATGGAGCTTCACATGTGAAGAATGTTGCATGTTCTCTCTGACCCACTGCCATCGACAGGATCCCGACTCCTAGCAGCTGAAGAGTGGAGAAGAAGGGCCTTGCGGGTTGCCAAGGCCGCAGTCTTTACAGAAGCAGACTGCCACGCCTTTCTCCCAAAGCGTGGCTAGTGGTTTTGAACTGCTGGTTATCAGCTATGCACTTAATCACTGCACCACCAGCGCTTCTTTGTGTTAGCTAGTTTTACAGAAAATGAAACAAAATGCCTGGCAATTAATTTGAAAATATGTTGAAGCCCAGGACACCTGTGAGATGAGATATTTCAAAGTGGCCCCAAGTTACACCCAGCTCTCCCCATCCTCCAGATGCACGGCTCCCCTCTCCCCAGGCTTCTTCTCGAAGATGGGGGAGCAAGGACAGAAGAGGGTGATGGTGCAAGCACAAAGTCAGACCTACTGGTCTGTTCTGCTCCAGGCCCTGCACTCATTGAGTGCTCTCTGGGGGTTCCCACTCCCCGGGCTCCCATTACCTTTAGCAGTGCATCTCGCTCAGGGCTGCCCTGGGTGAATGCCAAGATGGGTTCGTTGGCCACTTTCAGGGAGAAGTGCTGGTGCCATAGCCTGGGACACAAGAGGGAGAACAAGGCAGTCAGGTCAGCAGTGCCAGGCTCCGGCCCTCTATCTCCTGAGGGGCTCCAGAGGTTGGCCCAAAGCCTGAAATCCAAAAATCAAGGTTCAAGTCCTTCCCACCATGTGCCCCTGACCACGTGGCTTGGCTTCTCTGAGCTTGCTTCTGCCTCAGTTGTTGTTAGGTGCCACCAACTCAGAACTAAGCCACAGCTGGCCCTCCAGTGGGTTTTCAAAAGCAAAGGAGACGACTGCTCATCTTTCACGGTCCAGCTGGTGAATGTGAACCACATGTTTTTGGTTTTTCTTTGCTCGCTAATATTTAATAATTTTTATTATTATTTTTAACAAAAGTTTGAAAGCAGGACTGGCACCACTTCTTAAACAACATGCCTCTGAAAACTATGAACTTTGAGAAACGATAGTTATACGAAGGCTTCAGGTCTTTTGTTCATAGGGTCGCTATGAGTCATGCTCGACTCGACAGCAATCAACAACAAAATTTTACAGTAAGGTTGAGTTTTCATTCATTCATTGTAGGGAAATGTGCAACAACTGGGTGCCTTTGGGGTTGCAGCACAATTTCTTACCAACAGGCCACTTGCCTGAGTTTGTTGTTTTTGTTGTGCCGTAGGGATGGAGACGACCCATTGCTGATCCTCTAGAGGGTTTTCAGAGACAGTTAATTGCACAGGAGGAGACTGTCTATCCTTCTCCTGCAGAGCAACTGGTGGCTTCGAACCGCTTGCCGTTGGGATTGCAGCACAGCTCCTTGCCACTAGGCTACTAGAGCTCCCGACTCCTGCCTCAGTTACATGAGAATAAACACCAAATCCACAGAGCTGCTGAAGGTTTAAATTCAGATACAAAATGGTCTGTGCATGATTATTCTCCATTTACTCATTATTCTCCTCTCAGTGGAATCTTTATCCCAAAGAGACCAAGGAACTTCGTTCTCCTGGCGGGAAAGGCAGCACATTCCAGTGTGGAGTCCCATCACGGTGAAACGCTCAGATTCCCTTGGGTTAGAGCCAAGAGCTCCGGCTGGGCAGGAATGGTCAAGGCGTGGACTGCAGCCCGTGAGCTTGCAGGGCTGCCCCAGGCCCAGCTCTCCACCACAGAGAAGGCTGGTGTGGAGGTTCAATGTCTGATCCCAGGGCACTGAGCTTCAGGACCTCACTCCAGGACCCTACTTAATCCTGAACCCCAGGACTTCACTGGTTAGTACCCCATCACCATGCCCCTAAAATGTCCAGAGTCAAAGATGAGAGAATATAAGACAAGCTACTGGGGTCACTCATTGCCAAGCTGCAGTCCCAGCACAACCACTTCTCGGCTAGAGTCTTCCTCTCTGGCCACACTGCCACCAATCTGTAAATGAAGCCCCACAAGAAAACCAAGTCTACCAAATATGTGCAGGGCACTTCAGAGTCAATAACGAATACTTAAGCACCATGGTGTGTCAGAAGAATGAACAATCTGTCTCAGGAGACGGACAGCCAGAATGCTGCTTTAGAAGTCAGACTAGTGAGAGTTGGTTTCCTGTGGTTCATGCATGTTAGGAGGGGCCAGTTCCTGGAGAAGGACGTCATGCTGGGTAAAGCAGAGGGTCCATGAGAGACAGGAAGACCTGCAGAGAGATGGAATGGCAGAGCTGCGGCAGCAATGGACTCACACCTAGCAAAGGCTGTGTGGCGGGCCAGGACCAGGCATGCTTTGCTCTGCCGTACACGGGGTTGCTGCAAGTTGGCGCCCACTCAACAGCTCCACAATCTTCCCAGGAGCAGACTGCCACAGTTTCCTCTCACAGAACCCTGGGATGACTTCAAACTGCCAACCATTCGGTTAGCAGCCAACCTCTTCACCAGCAGACCACTGCAGCTCCTGACGGGCTCCTTATCCTAAAGTGGAACTCTGCTCCGGTTTGGGAAACAGAGGCGATTCTATGGGGAACACATAGCAGGCACTCTGTTGTTAGGTTCAAGTTGAATACGACTCATAGTGACCCTATGAACAAAAGATCTGAACCCTGTCCTATCCTATGCCATCCTCACATGTGTGACACACTCAAGCCCACTGCAGCAGTCTGTCAATCCACCTGGTGAAAATGTTGCTACTTGAAGGCAATGGCCTTCATGTTTATGGTTAGGCAAAATTGTGGGGTAGGTTTGCTTCATCCCACCTGACCCTGGTGGAAATGACCAGGCCACAGGCTAGTATTCACTGAGGTGGTTTAAGTCCTGTAGACCACAATGGTTTGGCTGTAGGTGTCAGGTTAGTCCTCGACAGCAAAGACCACTCTTCCCTCTTTCTCACAGGGAAGGGGCTGGGGCCTCAAGACCCAACCTGAGAGGTCCAGAGGAAGAACACAAAACCGGGTACCCTGGGTACAGGTCCTTCACTCCTCTGTAAGATTCACTGAGGGTCTGTTGGATTGGGTGGTGGGGGTCCCTCAGTGGCACATGGTTGGCAGTTCACATGCAGTTCCCAAACCTTGACAATACAAGCAATCAACTGTATTGCTGTGGTTTTGGTATACTTTTGAGTGGAAGCACAGTTGACCCTCTAGTGGGTTTTCAGAGGCAGCAGGAGCCTCTAAAGTAGAACAAATGACATGGAAGTAGACCACCCCCATCCTTCTCTTGTGGAGTAGTTGGTGGATTCAAACCACATACCTTTGTGTTGCAAGCCACCAGAGCTGCTCTGTTACAAAAATGTGTATGAATGATAGAATGTAATTTTAATTACAATGTTATAAAACAAAATAAGCATGAATGACTGAATGTAAAAACAATATGATTTGTATATTTTCACTCCTGGTTTTGCAGATATACTTCTTTTTTCCTTAACATAGTGCAGATATCTGCTCCACCTTGGGGCTTCGTACCTATAGGTGTGTCAGAAGCTACTGCCGGAGTCATATTTCAGCTAACAGATGTTGCCCTGGATGTGCTCACCAAGTTGTGCCAAGAAATCTGGAGAACAACCACTTGGCCAACTGACTGGAAGAGATCTATATTTGTTCCCATCCCAAAGAAGGTTGACCCAACAGTGTGGAAACTACAGAACAATATCATTGATTTCACATGCAAGCAAGATTCTACTGAAGATTATCCAAGAACGATTGGAACAGTACATCAACAGAGAACTGCCAGAAGTCCAGGCTGGGTTCAGAAGGGGTCGTGGTACTAGCGATATTGTAGCTGATGTTAGATGGATCTTGGCTGAAAGCAGGGAATACCAGAAGAATGTCTATCTGTGTTTCATTGATTATGCAAAGACTGTGTGGATCATAACAAACTGTGGCTGACTCTGAGAAGAATGGGAATCCCAGAACATTTAATTGTGCTAATGCGAAACCTATACTTGGACCAAGAGGCAGTCGTTAGAACAGAGCAGGGCAACACTGCCTGGTTCAAAATTGGGAAGGGTGTACGCCAGGGATGTGTTCTATCTCCATACCTTTTCAACCTGTATGCAGAGCAGATTATCCGAGAGGCTGGGCTCTATGAAGAGACGCGTGGCGTTAGGATTGGTGGACGATCTATCAACAATCTGCGTTATGCAGATGACACAACCCTGCTCGCTGAAACTGAGGAGGACCTCATGCACTTACTGCAGAGGGTCAAGGACTGCAGCCTTCAGTATGGACTGAGGCTCAATGTCAAGAAGACAAAGATTCTCACCACTGGACCAATCGGTAGCATCAGGATGGATGGCGAAGAGATTGAGATTGTTCACAGCTTCAGTTTGCTCGGCTCCACGGTCAACATTCTTGGCACCAGCAGCCAGGAAATCAAAAAACGTATTGCGATGGGAAAGTCTGCGGTTAGGGACCTCTCTAAAGTACTCAAGAGCAAAGGTGTTTCTCTGGAGACTAAGGTGTGCCTGATACAGGCCATGGTCTTTGCAATCAAAAATGAGGTTGGGGACATAGCACTCCCTGACCTCAAAACCTACTACTACACAGCAGTAGTAACCAAGACAGCATGGTACTTGTACAATGACAGGCACATAGACCAATGGAACAGAATTGAGAGGCCAGAAATAGACCCAGCAACAGTCAAGTGATATTCAACAAGGAAATCAATGCTCTCAAACGGAGAAATGACAACCTCTTCAACAACAGGTGCTGCAAAATTGTACTTCCACCTGCAGAAAACAAATAGGATCACATCTCACACCACCGTATACAAAAATCAACTCAAGGTGGATCAGAGACCCGGGATTAAAGTTCATAATGTTCATAAGAGACAAACTGGGATCAAGCTTAAAAGCCCCAGTCTAAGTTTAAAAAGACAGTCAAATACAGCCAGAAATGCACAAGCTGAAGAGGATAAAATTGATGAACGGGACCTTCTGAAGATTAAATCCCTGTGCACATTAAAAACCTTTTCCCAACAGGGTGAAAAGAAAACCTACCAACTAGGAGCAAACATCTGCCAATACCATCTCAGACAAGAGTCTTACAATGAAAGTTTACAGAATACTCCTGGGTCTCCACAAGAAAGACTGATAACCCAATTACAAAATGGGCAAAAGACATGAAAAGAATTTTCACAGAGGAAGACATCTGAATGCAAACAGACACACGAAGAAATGCTCAAAATCACTAACAATAAGAGAGGCAAATCAAAACCACAATGAGATACCATCTGACTCTAGTATCAGTGGTAAGTTTTAACAGGACAGCAAATAGATGTTACAGAGAATGTTGTGAGAAAGGAACTCTTATGCATTGTTGGTGGTATTGTACAATGGTACAACCACTCTGGAAGGCAGTTTGGTGCTTCCTCAAAAAGCTTAACATAGAAATTCCATATGATTCAGCTACTACACTGCTTGTAATATACCCTGAGGAAATGAGAACTGAGGCACAGAGACTTGGTACACCAATGTTCACAGCAGCATCATTCACCATCGGAAGAACATGGAAACAGCCAAGAGTCCTGGGGTTTGTGGTGCACAATCGAATGGGTTGAGACAGTATAGTACATTCATACAATGGAAAACTACAGGAGCAATGATTTTGTAAATTATTACCTTGTTTGGGAGGGACTGGAGAGCATTATGCTGAGTGAACTGACTCAGTCCCACAAAGACATATATTGTATAAAACCATTATTGTGAAATGAGTATAAGGATCCAAGGAAGAGGGGAGGTGGAAGCAGAGGGGTTAGGTTGTTGGGAGGGGTAGATTAATCATGAGGTACAATTTGATGGAAGGGTGAAGAAAATTGGAAGAATCTGGTCTGAAAAACAATGTATTCTAATTTTGTAAATCAACTAATATAATAAAAATGAGAAAATAAAAAATTTTTAAAAAGGCAACAAACTAATTCATTGCCACTAATTCAGAATCAACTCATACTTGACCTTCCAGTCAATTTCCAGAGAAAAACCTATACAAAAGGAGATTTCCAATCTTTCTTCTTTGGATCAGCTAGTGGGTTTGAACTGCCTGCCATTGGGTTAGCAGCGCCACCTCTTCATCCACTACGGCACCACAGCTCCCTTACAAAAACAAAGGCACCTCATCTACAACCAGGAGAGGATAAAATAGATGAGTGGAACCTTCTAAGAATCAAATCCCTATGCACATCTATGAACTTCTCCAACAGAGTAAAAAGAAAAGCCATAGATTGGGGTGAAAAATATTTGGAATTGACATGTCAGATAAGGGACTTATGTCTAGAATTTATAAAATACTCGAGCACCACAAGATAAAGGTAAAAAACCCAACTGAAAAATGGGCACAGGATATGAACAGACACTTCACCAAAGAAGACATTCAGATGGCCAACAAACACATGAAGAAATGTTTAATATCCCTAGCTCTAAGAGAGATGCAAATCAAAACAACTATGAGATATCATCTCACCCCAGTAAGAATAGCAAAATTTAACAGAGCAGCAAACAACAAATGCTGGTGAGGTTGTGGAGAAACTGGAACCCTTATTCACTGTTGGTGGGAGTGTAAAATGGTGCAACCACTACGGAAGGCTGTA